GCTAACCTGACATGGAAAAAAACCACCTGAACAACATAAACTGTCTGATTTTTACTTTGGCATCAATTCAACAATTACATAGCAAATCATGAAAAGTAGAAAATATTTGTCTGGAGTATAACATTTTGAGGAAAACACAAAGGCCATCTGGCGACAACAGTAAGCCATTCCACACTTGGAAAAGTCTATGTTCTAGTCATACCATGTTCACATTTTCAGCAGCATCTTCCTAAAGGGGTGTATACATTTAAGAAACATTTCTATACACTTGAACAAAGTTACAAATTTTAAGAGTTTAGAGAAGAAAGCCTGGTGCTCGGAAAAACTGGGATCACTTATGCAATTAAACAAATCAAAAGTCTGTAAGACTCAAGTGCAGACCTGCAAAGAACCAGTCTCACTCAGACTGTATTTACATTCTACTTCTGCACAAAAGCTATAAATTTGTGTATTGCAGCTCTTCAGTCACTCAGCATCTACTCCCACCAGTCCTCCTGGTTTGAATAAGACAAGTCATGACGGCTTATCAATGAGAACATGAGGCCTAGCTGGCAGCCATGTATGTAAGCAAACAAACAGGAAAAAAAGGAACACGGAAGGTTCTCCCTGCTTCACGTGAATTTACAAACTAGAAAGTTTGCTAAGGGAAGTTATCAAAAGAAAGAACATTTGGTCTCTGAGACCCATTTAGCACTACTTTCCCAACTAAACACGCCTCAGTCTAGTGACTGACATATTTTCAACCACTTTTCACTTATCTGATGCATTTGAAGCAATAAACTTGAAAATACCATCCTTTTGGGGTGGAGGGGAATTGAATATTAACCCCTGTTCTCTTGTAATAACTGCCTTATGAGAAGAAACATTTTATCAAAGATATCCACAGCACTTCTGCCAGGTCACCTTCCTCCACGAACCCCAAGATTTTATGTACTTGCTGCTATTTGAAAATCCTACAACAGAACTTTTTCAAGCACAATTTCATTTTATTGGCAAGACTACACAAAACTCCTTGGGAGTTTTCCTTTGACCAAACAGCTGATACCATCAGCTCCGCACTCGCTTCTTCTCTGAGCAGTACTTAGTGTCACCGCAGGAACGATTTCTAACTGAAACCTCACAAATAAGGAGGCCAACTAGCAGTAAATACCAACTATTTCTGAACCAAGTAACCCGTGCCCCAAACCATGCTATAAATAGCCTAGCCACGTGCCCGCCATGCCCCTTCTCCCCATGACTGCAGCCCAGCAGAGGTGAGGACACGGCCCTTGTTCTGCCACTGCCTTTTGCCTCAGAGCCGCAGCGCAGCAGGCAGGAGCACCCCAGTGCCCCCAGAGCTGCTACTGCCAAATCTGATTTCCACAGCCAATCTCAAGGGTTCATCTGTTATTTCCATTACATTCCTTTTGTTATTACTGCTTGCTATCATTTAGCCCCCTTTTATCTCATTTCATAACTTTTTTCCTATTTTTTTTTCTTTTTTTCTCTCCTTTTAGCACTCTCTGATATGGGATATTCTCAACAGAGTTATGCAAATGCAAATCCAGCACATTCACCCATCCTCCTTAGCTTCTTTGCACACCTTCCCAAAAGGAAGTTTCCCTGGTCAGAGCAATGCTGATAACCATCCCGGGTCCCACCGCTCAGAGGAAATGACATCCCCATCACGGAGAGGACAGGAGTGAGAAAACTCAGCAGGATTCAGGATGCCTATACATCCACTTACGTACAGCACAGCAGTTTGCTGCAATTTAAAGCAGTTGTGAAACACACTGAGAAATGCCAATCAAAAACCTACAGATCAGCATCTTTGCCAACAAGATGTTCATTTGTCCAAAGCAAAATTTCCACAGTAACACCCGTGTTACTTTCAAAGATGGCATTTCTCACCGCCATCCCCAGGAGGCGGCCCAGCTCCCAGCCTCACAGGGCAAACCCCAGATGCTCCTGAGTGGGCACGTGGCCAGGCAGGGCCGCCAGCTGAGAGGCCTACGGCTGAGGCTGGGCACCAGCAAGCTGCAGGGCCAGGTCCGTGTGCCTCTGGCCTTCTGTACTGCATCACCTCCACATCAGTTATCGGCTGTTATGCAGTGGGCTGCTCTGACACACAGCGGCAACTCTGGAATTCCTTGGAAACACCGGCCAGGATAATGGAGAATGAAAAAAATAAAATAAAATAAAATAAAATAAAATAAAATAAAATAAAATAAAATAAAATAAAATAAAATAAAATAAAATAAAATAAAATAAAATTGGAGCTGAAGTACTTTGCAGAACAGGAAATCCTTTCTTGTCAACTCTCCCAAGCAGCTGCCACAGAACGTGGGAAAAAGAAAGTTACTGCTTTCTGAAAAGATGTGAAAATAAATGACAGCATTAAGCACACGGTTTGTTAACACTAGAAGGAAGATTCATCAAGTCAGTACTCAGTGAATTATCACTACAAGGCACCATGAAAGCTTATTCTTGGGATAGTTCTTCAATCTGCAGATGTCGAAGTACCATAAACACGAAGCAAATGTTAATAATGAAATACATAATTAGCAGATAAGCATCAAGGGGAGCCCTGTATGACTGCTTTCAGTTTGCCTCAAAACATGCAGCTTGTTGATGGTACTCGCGAAGATATAAATATTGAAGGCCTCTGAATGGGAAAATTATGTAACAGAGGCAAGAACCATTTTTAAAGATTAAAGAAAAATAATTAGAAAATCAGAGTAAACATGGATATTTGCCATGGAAAGCAAACTATAGGCAGAACAGAACTATAGGCAGAACAGGCAACAGGCAGAAAAACCTTGAAAAAGCAGCAACTAGACCAGCAAGTATGAACAGAACCAGTTACCTGGCATATCAACTCATGTATTTTTCTGAACTGCAGCAAGGGTGTCACCTGAGCAGGCAGCCTGCAGCACAACAGGAAGGTACACTACCTGAGCATCACATGGAATTCCACACAAGTAATTGCAAAGGGAGGAAAAAAGAGGAAAAGAAGCCCAGAGGGGAAGAAAAGGAAGACAGGAAATCACAGTTGGATTGACTTATGAGGTGTTTTTCAGAGTGAGTATAGCTCAAGTAACTGTCAAGCACAGAGCAGCAGCCAAGCACAGCAGCATCTGAGGGACTTCAGCATTATGGCGGTAAAGAACCAGAGAACAGAAGTCTGCCTCTAAGGAGCAAGATGCACTATAGATAAAATATGTGGCACACAGAGAATACCATACAAAGCAGGACCTCTGCTACATGGCCTCCCAAGAGAGCAGACAGCCTAGCATTTAATTTACACTGGCCAGAAGACCTTGGCGTACAACCAGGAGCATTGCATCTTTATCTAGAGAGACAGAAACTATGTGACCTCCGACTGCCATTATTCTGTTAAACACTCCACAGCACCCAGGCCAATGAAGGGCTTCAGGAGGAACGTGGAATCTGCCTTTAATTAACTCTGCTCATCGTGGGGCTGTGCATGTACCATCGCTCAGAGCCCCCTTGCTGCTGCCAAAGCCACAACACAAACCTCTCACATGGATCAAAGAGCATTCAGCTGTGAACGGTCATGGCAGACGTCACACACTCGATGTCTGCAGGGACAGCCAAGAATTTTGCACCTTCCTGAACATGACTCTGCAGTAGATAAATGCTGTTGCAGCTTGTGGCGATGCCAGTCACAGCTAATTATAGCTTTATTGAGACATTTTGGCAAGAGCCAAAGGAGTTCAAGCAAACAGCTTGTATTGGGGTTGTGTTCCTGCCCTGCTGCTGACAGCGCATGACTTTGGCACATCATGCATATGCTTGGCCCCTCTTCTGCTAGCTCCCCTCTGACACCCACTGCTCCCCAGAGGGATGCTGGGGAAGCGGAGTGCAGGAGTGGTCTCTGGAGGGGCACTGAGGATATACACAGCTCTGCTGCTGCTGGGCACTGGCAGAACCACTCTGTTCCCAAGGAACACATTTTCCTCCAGAGCACTCTGTGAGATCTGTATGGGCGATGAAAAAACACCCACTGGAGTCTCGTAAATACCTTAGGATGTGACGCGCAACGTTCTTATTATATGCAACTAAGCTAGTTAACTTCCATACTGTATTTATCAGATATTGTGAACAAAATAGAGAATCATAAAATAATAAGGTTGGAAAAGACCACTAAAATTGCCATGTCTAACCATCAACCCACCACCACTATGCCCGCTAACCATGTTATGAGCAAATCTTTCACCAAATCACTGAAGCTACAACACAAACCACATCTCCCCTGTGCTCATGGCCACTTCCTTTGCACTCCTACACGGGGTGCAGCCCTTGGTGAGGAACGGCATGCCACCACTCCCCTCCGGGAGGGTTTGCCTGATGTTACCATTGGAAGTACGGCCAAGGAACTGACTTTCCTCCTAACTTGAAACAAAAATGAAGAAAAACAAAAGAACAACAACAAAAGAGATAAGTGGTTCTTGCTGTTAAACAGACTTAAGACTCTGGACACAGACGGTACTTCCAAGGAAAGAAACAGAAAGAATAGAACTGCCAGGAAAGAAGAGGAAGGGAAGGAGACCCAGGAGGAAGCATTCTGTGCCTCGAGCACGGCGCTGGGAAGGACCCACAAGGGGCTCCCGGCACTGCGGGCGGTTAAGATTTACAGCCGAGATTTCCTCGTGAACAAAGCCGGAGCAACACCGCGGCGCAGGCCGCGCCGCCCGCCGTTATTAGCGTTAATACGAGGCGCGCATCCCGGAGCGCCCGACCGCGGTGGCTGCAGGCCAGCACTTCACAAGTTTCCTAAACCACAAGATCGCTATCGGCGCCCTCACAACGCGCCCCTCGGCCTCGGGGCTGCGGGGCCGACTCCTCCCGGTCAGGTCCCACCCGGCCGCCCCCCGCAGGCCGCCGCCATGTCACGCCCCTCCGAGTGGCGGCGAGGAACCGGGGCCGGTGGGCGGCGCTCCCCCCGCGGGCCGGGGGCGCAGCGGGGCGCGGGGAGGGGGCCAGGGTGGCGACGTTACCTGCAGCTCCGCCCGCTCCGCCTCCCACTCGGCGCGCTCCGCCTCGAAGCGGCCCCACTCGTGCTGCAGGAAATGCAGGATGCCCGGCACGCTGTACTGTGCCCGCGACGCCGACACCGGCGCGGCGGTGCCGCCGGCGGAGACCCCTCCGCTGCCGCCTCCCGCCGCAGCCGCCGCCGCGGCCGCCGCCGCCTCGCCCGGCTCCAGCCCGGGCCCGCCCGTCGGCGGCGGCAGCAGCAGCGCGTTGTTGTTGTTGTTGTTGCTGAAGAAAACGCCGGGCCCCGCTTGCTCGTCCATGGCCGGGCCGCGTCTGCCGCGCCGCGCCGCGCCGCCCCCACCGCCGCCGGCCGCCGCCGCGCCCAGCCGCGTCCCGGCAGCGGCACAACCTGGGCGCGTCCCGCCCGCCCGCCGCCGTCACCGCCTGACAGCCGCCCCCGCCGGCTGCTACCGCGGCCCGCAGGGGACAACTCAGAGCGCTTCGCGTCGCCGCCCGCGCGGCACTCCGGGAAACGTAGTTCTGTGGGGCGGCGGCACGCGGCGCGGGCGGGAAGAGGCAGCAGCTGCTGCGGCTCCTCCCTGCTGCGAGATCGGGGCCCGCGCCGAGCGAACCTCTTCCCGCGCACTGCCGTTCGGGGGATCGAGGAGAGCTCGGAGCCCCGATTTAAAAAGCCCCTTTGATTTAAGAAGATCTGCACCTCAGAGCCCGGTTTGAGTGGTTTTGGCACGCTTGCAGCCCAACATGTGGGTATAACAAGGGCAGTGTCCTGCACAACCCTCCATCAAATCCCAGCTTTTCAGCTCGTTGCTGTTGAATTCCTTTCTGTTTTGGCTACATTCTGAGCACTGGTCTTACACTTACAGAATCATTAAGGTTGGAAAAGACCTCCAAGACCATCCAGGCCAACCACAAACCCACCCCCACCATGCCTCCTGTGTCCCTCAGGGCCACATCCACACAGTTCTACCAGAGCACTGAAGGCTACAAGTCCATCCCGCCAGCACTTCGGCTTCCCTTCCCTACCTATTGGAACACTGACAAGGAGATACAGCAGCATTTCTCAGAAACAACCACTTTCTCTTCTGAAAGGATAAACAAGACTTCCTGAGGCTGATGCTGTCACCATGGGCCAAGTGCACAAGCTGTTAGGCACACAAAGATGGTTTGCTTGCTCCATTAGCACAAGAGCTTTCTGAAGAGACGCATGCCCTACATTAGCACCATCAGCTCCACGTGAGAAGCGATGCAGGAGGAGAGCGGTGTGGCCAAGACACTGCGTGCTGTGGGCCGTGCTCAGCCTGCAGCACAGAGAAACAGGCCCTGCGCAACTCTGCTTGCTCAAGCAGCGCTTCCTGTTTCTTTCTGGCTGTTCTGAACTCGCGGTTGTTGCTTTGTAACCAGCCCTGAGGAGGTGGGACTGCGGTGGGTGGATAACCTCTTAGCTCTTCTAAAGAGAGGAATGATAAACATGTGAGCTGATAGAAAGGATAAGGGATGAGAGGGAAACAAGAACCCACCACAGGGAATGCTCTGTGGGGGAAACTTTTTAAAGAAACAGGGCAGAACATCACAGCTCGCTAAGAAAGGAAGGAAACAGTGGTGAGAGAGGAAAGAAGTGAAGGGGAAATAGCAACAAGCTTCATGAAAACACACAGTAAAATGGCCAGCAGTGAAGAAAGAGATGAGTAGGGGAGGATGATCAAAAAACAGAAGGAAGAACAAGAAGCACTACCAACTGTTCAAGTTTCATTTTTTAATCAAATGAAGTTTGATGCAAAAATTACGATGTAAAATCATGCAGTTATACTTTTTGTGTCTGGAGCAGCAAAACCAAACAGATCAGAAACAAGAGAGGCATATGCACAAATTAAGGTTGCACCTGTTGTACACAGTCACAGTGTGCAAAAAAACCCAACCCTCTCCTTTCCTAATCCTCTGCAACTGCCCAGAACTATTTTCCCTTCCACCAACATTGTTACTGTTCTTCTATAGTCTTTACCATACTTGTTTACTACACCTCACCCCCTTTGAGTGTACAGCATCTCATTATTACCTAGAATGTGAATGAAACACCAAAGGGATGAGATAGAAAAAATTAAGGTAAAGACAGACTTGATTGTAGATTAAAAAAAAACAAACAAACAAACAAAAAAAAAAACCTTTCCAGCAAACACCAGTCATCAGTTACTGAACTATCAAGGAAGAGAACTTCTTGACTGTCCTTATTTTTAATTGCAAATAATTTGTGATCAATTCTACAATGAGAGTTTCCTTATACGCTTTAATGGAACTTTCTCAAACATTTAAGAGGGTTCAAAACAACTGCTGAGCAAAAGAGCATTGTAATATTTGAAACACTTATAGGAAAGTGATAAACTTTGATGAATTTAAATCCCACTACACAAAGATGACAGGATGAGAATAGTGAAATCCGTTTCCTCCTGCACAACATAGTATGATTTTCACTGCTGCATGCATCTCTAACTGCAGTAGGAAATGGAAAAGACTTGAAAGTTAATCTTCACATGCTTATGAAAAAGACATTTGAAATATTAGTTTGCTCCTCTTGCCTTGGTGCAAACTTCTTTTCTCACTTTGGTACTAAAATAATCAGTCTGAAGTAAAAGACTTTCAGATTTATAATATGTTTTATCCACATCCAATACAACAGGGTAAGAGAGCATTATCTTATCTTTCATTTTGCATAGGTACCCAAAGGGTTACATAAGCTGTTATGAGAGATGAGAGGCAAACGACTATGCAAAAATAACAATCTACAAATATTTCAATCAACTATTAACCATGCTCATTTCTATTTACTATCCTTTGTTACACTTGGGTTCAAGTAGAAGCTCCTAAAATACACTGTTTCTACAGAGCCCTGTTATATCCAGAAAAATATCAGACATGAAACCCCAGTAGTCCAAGCCCAGTCTTCCAGTTACAAAACTTTTCTCTATAAAGCAATATGCATAGAAAGATCCCTATGGAACTCTGTAAATTCAATAGCAGTGTCAAAATCTTCATGTGAGTCAGTCTTGTATATACAAGAAAATACGTGATTCTGCACCTCTGCTAACAGAAGGGGGAGGTGTGGCACAAGGCAGACAGACCACTGGGAGTTGAGCTCTTCTTCTGTACACTTAGTTCAGCACTTGAGCTATCTTTCAGATCCAAAAACAACAAATCAAACCCACTCAAATGTGAGGGGAGGTCACGCATATTTAAAAAAAAAAGAGAAGCCAGGTAGGAGAAAGTAAAATTGGAGGGCCTTGCTCATTCTTGTGTTCTACTCCCTTTCAGTCAGCACAGGTGCAAAGTCATTCGGTTCTGCAAACTTTATCAAAGACTACATCTCCAGTGATATTAAAATTTTGCAGGAAGAAGTAAATATCTTAGAATCTGAACAACATGCAGTACACATAGCCATCACTTTCAACCAGTGTCTGGCAGAATAGAGGGACTGCTAACACTGCACCTTGCAAGGGCCAAGAGCCACAGCAACACAAATGCAGACAGCAGGCAGTCCTCTTTTTAAAATAAATTTCTAATGCACTGTTTTTTGTTTCATTTTTTATGTTGTTCCTGTTGTTAGAGGAAATACGGCATTAGACTTTTGTAATGCTTTATTCAAGCATTAAAATGGACCCAAAAGATACACCACATAAAGGAAAGACAACTCATTACACAGCATGCTCGACTGTTTACCTTGAGAAAGGCTGAAAGTTGTCTTTTTTTTTTTTCTTCTCCCCCTTCCATGCAAGCAGAAAAGCTCTACAGTGTCTGGCAGTTCTCTTCCCTAGTTTGTTTTAAAAAGAAAGAGTGCATATTTCTACTCTTGACATTCCCCATGTACACAGTAAGTACTGCATAACAGTGTCCACTCTTCCTTGCATCCCCACTGTGTTAGCACAGTGGTACAATAACAGCCACCAGATTTCAAACACCATTCAGAAAGGTTAAGGGTTCTTTTAAAAAATAAGAGGATTTCATGAGATAGAGAACAAGGTGGGTTTTTTTTTTGTGGATAATTTATATTGCAAATTCATAAATATGATCACACTCAATTTCTCAAAAAGCTATACAAATACAAGTAACACCACTTCCCTTGTAATGCACAGATTTCAAGTAATTACACAAAGCTCTATTAGACAGCCTTTAAGATACAAATTACACAAAATTACAGACTTATTTGCAGTAACATATCAGGGATAATGTAGTGCTTCGGACAACGTAACGGTCCAAAAATAATAAAAGTAATTCAAAAAAAGCTAGTTTTCAGTTTAATTGTTGGGGTGGAATGTACTGTGGGTGGTGGTTGCCTAGCAGCTGCTTTTGCCTTGCTGGCCTGACTAGCTCGGACTGCAGTTTCTAGGCGTGTTTTTAATTCAGGCGCAGCTCCCATTACGGTCTTGAAAGCATGTGGGTAAAGTGGTCCAATGTGCATCAAATTCTGAAGTGCAAACTCGTGAAGGTCTTTAGATGCTGTAGATGCAGAAGCAAAGGCATTTTCATTCAATAAGTAGGAGATCAGAGTGGGAACAAGCAGCGCAAGCAACTGGACTCCTAAACGTGAAAGAAAAAAAATAAATCAGATCAGAACGAAACAAAAAGAACTAGTAACGAAGGTCCTAGTCTGATAGATGTGAATTTTGTTTTCTCAATTGACAATAAGCTCAGTAATTACAAATGATCAAATCAAAAATAAGCAAAATAAAGAGTGCTTCCCATCATTTGGTCACTCCAATCTTGCCTATCAGGCTTGTGCTACTCACTTCTCACTGTTCATCACAGTTATTTTGTTCCTGACATCTTTAGAAGTGTTTGCACAATCCAACTGCAGATCACAGATCTTAAAATGTAGAGTGGCTATTAAAGACTTCAAAACACTGCCAACAGACAAACAATTCAACCGAATTGGAAAAGCAGCCTCCCCACTGAACATAACTGAACTGTTTTCACCATCCAACTCCATCTCCAGAGCTAGCACTTCAAAAAACAGCACTGTAACAATACTTACAGGGCTAACAAGACCTGCTGCTAGCACAGAGTTTACCTTTAGAACAACAACAATCACCAACAAAACCAAAGCAGTAGGGCTAATATTTCTTCCTAACCTGGCTACAAGTATGCCTTGAAACGTGCAACATGTTAACTGCAACTTCTGGAGAACTTTTCAATAGATGACTTCCCATTAGTGCTAAATTCTGTAGACTATTAGAATATTAATCATTTCCTCCTAGAGGTTTTGACAACACATATATTCTTGCTTCCTGTCAGCATTAGCAAAAATCAAATGTTCTGTTTCCTCACTCACTTCAGTTATTCTCCAATTTTATTCATTAGAAACTAGGCCAGAAGCACGACACTCAAGAAAACATACATTTAGTGTTATCATCAATGCGGAGAAATATCAACAGGAATATATTGGGGTAAAAAAAAAAAAAAAACAACAAAAAAAAGTAATATTTTTACAATTTAAACTTTAAATACAGATTAAGTTCAATATCTGCAGGCTAAATCTTTCAGTTATTATATTGTTTCAGCTATTCAGACTGAAGAGAAAGAAATTATGAAGACTGTATTCTATCTACCAAAGCAAACAGAAGGCTTTATCTACGATCTAGATCTTGCAACCAATACAATTTATTTCTTGGTTTCTTTAAATAAGCTTTATTGAGATGGTAGAACTAACCTGATAAAAATGGTGCTAAAATAAGTAGTATCTAACATCAGGAAAAAGTAAATTTAAACAGTACATTCTACTCATATTTAAATACAAGAGAATACCACTACTTCAATTCACACTTAAATTTTGCTTCAGAATTACCAGAAACTGAAATGCTACAGCATATCACACTGTACATGCTATGTGAGCTTGTGTATACACAAGTTCCAGTAATGAAATTATGAAAGTGCATTGGGCTTTTTTTTTGTGAGTATGCTATCAATCTACAAGAGTTCTAATGTTCAACATTTTATTTTACAATTACACATTTACTAGAAAAACTAAATACTTACTATTCTGCTCTTCACCAAGGGCAACCAGTGTTTCAAGGACCTTAATTCCTTCCTGGACTGCTAACAGCTCTAGGTTGTTTGTTGGGCGGTTCCTTTCCACAGCTTTCAACTTCTCAACCATTATAGGGGCCAAGGAATGAATGTATGGAGTCGACAGAGCACGATTGGTATGTTGGAACACAGAAAGTAGAAGCTGGTAACACTTGGCTTGAACCTAATCAAATCAAGATAAATACATTGTCCTCCAAGTTACTTGCTAACTCAAGGAATTCTAACACAATCAGTTATCTGTGTGTGAGATAGTCGCGATTCCAAAACAACAAAACCACCCAACAAAACAGAGTAAGTGGGAAGGAAATATACTGAATAAGGGAAAGAACAAAACAGGCTGTTTACTAAAATTATACTAGCCCAGTTTTCAATAAAAGAAGGAAATTAGAGTTAACTGCAGGTATAAAATGGTGGTCAGCACAAACTCAGAAAAGAAAGGGACAGTTAGCATCATATTAAACAATCACATAGGTCCACAGAGAACTACATTTTAAAGTTTCATAACTATCAACACTAAGAGTAGATGCATCTTCAAAGTCATTACATAGTTTTCCAGTCTCAGATGAGTAACACAGTCTATAAAAATGATTCAGATCTCAAAGTGACCGTATGCCCACACATAAGCCAAGGCTGTGGCCAGAAGTGGCAGGTACATCCTTCCTTCTATGTCTCCACCTTGTGCTGGTAATAGCATAAAAATATACACATAGGTATAGAGGAGGCTTGATCATAGAACCCTCTCCTTCCATCCTTCCTTCTTCTCTTCCTTTCCCAGCCCTCCTCTTTCCTACTAGAAGCAGGAAATATTGAAATTAACATTTGGGAAAATGACTTACTGATAATCTTCTTTAGAATGAACATGATTTCGGTTCAAAAAACACTCTTGCTCCAAAATGCCACACAAACAATGCTGGCCCTTTGAAAGGGTAAAGCCCCACAGCAAGTATGAGGATACAACACTGCAGGTTTTCAAACCACACTCAAGCTACAACAGGATGAGTTATCAAGCATGTTCTGAATGGGAACATTCCTAAGTATTATTAAACACAGTGATCTGTGAGGGGATAACTGGAAAAAAGAGATGCATAAATGAAAACATTAAATAAAAGAGAATATAAGCTAATAATAAGAAAACACAAGTTAGGCAGCTCACTTTGCTGTTAATATACGACTGCAAGTTTTCTGTTCAGCATAATGTTGGAAGCCTGAAATAATAACAGTTCCTCAAATATCATTTCCATGCTTTTTTTAAGAGAGTTCCATGGTAGAAAATATGCTTTGCCAGGTATTGGGAGAAAAATCTTTGGCCATTTTCAATAAATTATTTCCCTATACACTCCATACTACTCCAAGTAATTTCTTCCTCTTTCTGCTGACATTTTGAAAACTCCTGACTAGCTGTTAAGGTTATTAAATTTAAAAATAAGGAGTAAGGGGCCATTTTGCTTTGTTTTTTGCTTTTTTTTTTTTTTTTTTTTTTAAAACACATCCATAGTTGAAGTAGGTGCAGTTTTACAATTGCATCTGACAGCAGAATTCCACTGAAGCATATACAACTGTATGGGTATGTATATAACTTTTGATACTCCACATTCAGAGAAGTTTTCCAAGAACTTCTGAGAGGCAAAACCAGGGCTTCTCCTAAGGCACATCTCCTGTAAAACTTACTAATTAGCAGCAAGAGAGGAGGGCCTATCAAAATGAGAGCCTACAGCTCCAGAAAATGAACTTGTCTTAAAGACACTACTATGCAGCTCAACTACCGCCCAGTCTCCTGCAAGTGGTAGCAGTTCCAAAAATGTTTCTGTATCTTTAAGACAATGGTATTTCTTTAAAAGAGTTGGTTTGTTTCCTAATTGGTTCAATGCTTCTATTATAAATGTCTAGTAACTGCACTCAGCAGTGACTGCTTTATATTTAAAAACTACAGTGAACCAACAACAAGCATCACAGAGTATATGCTCTGCACATCAGTGAGGAGAGTGGACACGATCTGGTTCCTGTCAAAGCACTTCCTGTGAATTACAGAATTAGTGCTAAGTTCCTGCTCACTGACAGCTTTCCAGCAGGGTGGGCAAAGATGTACTACTTTTCACCGTTTGTGTGTTTATTCAGAGCTGAGAGTAAGACGTAAAAGACAGCTTTCCACTTCACAGAGCTGACACTTCCATTCACACACTAAAATATTAAGCAGCTTTTCATTCAAGGTTAGGCTTCAGCAAAGAACCAACTGAGTTTCTTGCCCCTGTTGGAAAATGCCAGCTCTTATGAAGAGAAGAATTCTTGCTCTGAAGAGGATTCTGAATGTCTTGATGTGACACTAAAAACATCAGCGTTTTCTTCTGAGGGATCTCTGCAGTACTTGCTTGTGGAAACACTACAGATTTTACTTATTTTTAGTTCCTACCTGCTGATTTGTATAGCTGCTCAAACTAATACATGGCTGGAACACTTAAGCTTAACTATGAAGTATATTAATCTGATTGAGCAAAACTAGGCTAAAAGTTTGCTTCTCATCAGTAAGAAGATAATTTAGAAAACAATTCATAAAGACAAACCAAAGGACAGAAGAGAAATCAAGAAAGATGATTCACAAGCTGTAGATGCCTTTGATGGTGACCACAGAACACAGATTTTTCTCAACTGAATTTTGTATGAACATCTAAAATAAGCATAGGTTTTGTACAGAACAAAGTTCATCAGGAATGGGGGCTGTAATTTTATCTGCAGAAAACATGGTTTAGTTTGTATTACAATAAATCAGTTTTACTGTAAAACTGTCACTGCTCTCTAGTAGCCATTCTTTTTCATTTGTTAAACATTTCAAAGGTTTTTTTCTTTCTGAAAGCTACAAGTCATAAACTTGGCACAAGGCCATGAGCAGATATTACCAAAAAGTAATTTGTCTTGTTTCTTTTGTTCATTATGGAGTTTCTATAATGCACCACTGAAAATTCTAGTTATTTTGACAAGCAGGATCTGTCTCTGAAGTAAAGCTCCCACAGAACATTCAGGAAACATAGCAAATATATTACAATTACTATTTTTTCCCAGCTGTATATCATTCAAATTCCTGAATCATGATCTTACCCAAGGATCACTGGAATTTAATGCATTTTTAAATCTGTTTATACATCCATTCTGTAAAGACTGTACTCCAATTATTTCAGTGCTTGCTGACCAAAGGAAGAGAGCAATAGCTGTAAGTACGCTTACTTCATCGAGAACAGGCTTGGAGGCTTCTGAAAAAAGAACCAAACAGGTTGTTAGATAAATTCTGAATGCTTTTCAGAGTAAAGTAAAACCCACTGAATGCAGACAAACTTAAAAAGAAATGCATTTGAAATGACTTGCAACTGCATACAAGTACACATTTATTCATTACTGAATCACTTTCTTGTTGTTATTGACTGTGACTGAAAATCTAAAGCTGAACAACTCTTTTCCAAAGGCTCTTTCAATAAAGTGATTCGAACTTTCCAAAACAAATAGCGAGCCAAAAATATCACCCACACTTTCTCTCTGAACAAACCACATTTTTGTTTCCCATGTGTAAACAAAGGGTGAAAACGTATTTTTGAAATCTTTTTCCCATTAAAAATAGTTGGCTTCCCTTTTTTGTTCTCTTCAGCTGATTCAGCAGAGTAAAAGACTGATAACCAGCGCAGCAACAACTGTAACTTACCGTGAGCTTCTACATAACAAATAGGCTGATCTGACATCTACCTGCCACAAACAAAAAAATGGTGGTCCTATTCAACCTTCCTTTCTTTTCAAATTCATCTGTACTTGCAACTGTCATCCTTTTCCTGACTGCATCAGCTCTTCATAGATATCATTCTTCAAGACACACCAGCAGGGAAAAAGAAAATTCAGTACTTTTCTGCTGGTTTTGTTGGCTAACTTGTTAAGACTCTCAAGGGAGAGCAGAACCAAAGCAGCAACATCTATATAGTCAGCAAAACCAAGGATAGCATGACATCCTTTTTGCAGTTATCAGCTAGCTGTTAGATTGGCTTTAGCCATGACGTGAAAACTCACTTCAGAAAATGACTCCAGACATTAAGTGAGAAACATAGTAGTGTTCTGTTGGTGTTTTTTGTGGGGGGGGGGTTGCTTAATATTAATGTTCTTTGAAACAAAATTGCATGCAACAGACCTCCATTATATTCTTGTGTGATGTGTTCACAGAAGACTGGAAAGGAACAGGAAAATTTACACTCTTGCAAGGAGCTTCTGAAAAATTTCAGAAGTCTGCATAAAGCATAAAGGCAGTAATGTTTGTGGAAAGGTGAACTGGAGAAACTCTAGAGGAACAAATGGCTGGAAGACATGAGCTGCTATGACAGATCAAATTAGAATTCTGACTCAGATAACACAAATGCACTGATCCTTCCCCTTCAGACATTTTCAGGATCATTTGCAATTACCTATCCCACATGAGTAACTCCATTCAAGCTTCTCTTCAGATTATAAATGGTTCCTCAGGGATGTAATGGGATTCTTTTGGGCTGAACTGCCATTAAGCGAATGACAAATCTTTGTGTCTCTCTTTGCTAACCATGCAGCTGAGACTACTTCTTTTTCACTTTTTGAAGAGGAAGGCAAAGCACAAATGTGAGCCAATAGAAGTAGCCTATAGTTCACTAAACAAGACACAGTAGAAATCCTGCCGATGGCTAACAGGCTTTTTTTTGCAGGAGTAGGATTTTTTCCAACCACTGACAGCTTGCAACAGAATTGCAAATCCCCTACTCCAGCATGAACCTTGCCACAATTATCCATTGCTGTCTTCGTACACGTTAACGCTTACTGTCATTAAGACTACACAAATCTTGTCAGCAAGCACTTATAAGATACAGTCTGCTTTTTTGAGGTTTAATTCAAGGTGTTGAGTCCAAGTACTGTATTGAACAAATAGACTCAGTAAACAGATTGGTTCTTTCCACAAACACTGTTTTGGTAACTAAATTCCCTTTTCCTTTAAGCTAGCTGGTCTCCTGTGGAAAAAGGAAAGGAGGAGTGGAAATTATGGTCTGTTCCAGCCTTGACAATATGTTTAGAGTTGCCAGTAACCAGAGAAATTGAGGCATGGCCTAGGAAATGATGTGAACGCAGCCTGGAACTCATTCAGATTTTATTTGCAGGATGTTAACTCAGAGTCAGAAACACTAATAGATATCAGAAGGAAGATTTCAAGTTCCAGAAACAAGGCACTGAAACTATGAAGACTGATACAATTATCCAAAACGCACATCTCAAGCACAAAATTTTTACTTTATAATGGGATTCAAACTGGAAGAGAGATGCCTGAACTAACGTAGCAAAATACCCTGAGTTACAAATGGCAACATTTCTAATAGGAGGTTATGACCAATACTGCTGTACAATCAATGAATGTACAGATGTTATAGTTATGAGGTATACCAGAGAGCTTGGCTATGTAGTTATTGCACCAAAGCAGAAAAGATAGGATGCTTACCCATATCCTGGGCTCGCTAAGTGAAACTCCAGTGGAGTGGATCTCCAGAAGAGATCCTTTCCCACTGGTAGCCAGCTCTTCAATGGGTCTGGGAGAGGTGCAGCCAGGCTCCACCCCTTCCTGCAGCACAGGTGAATTGCCTTCACCTGTGCTCTGTGGCAGACTCATTGCTCGCCTCAGGTGATCAATCAGAGGTTCAGGTTGTGATTCAGCAGTTCCCATACAACTGCCAAAGACAACATCCAACAAAGACACAACTGAGATGGAAACTTCTAACATACAATTGTATTTCCTTAGTCAACACTGTGCTCGTCTCCAACACAACCTACTAAGTTCTGCTAGTTAAGCTGTGTGCACTCAGATCTTCCTTCCATTTCAGTTTTAGAAGCAATTTATCCACCGCTTTTAACTCCCAATCCTCAGGCATGCAACCTGTTAAATTATAGGCAGACACAATACTTGTCTTTTCACTAAAGCAAAAGCCAGTTCTGTTTTAGGTTTCCTCCACTGCAAAATCACTTACCAGGTTGTGAGTACTCCAGGATAGATGCCAAAGTACTGCGAATAAGACTTGCCCACTGGTTTTGAGTTTCATCAGTCTTGACTGTTGGAAGAGTAACAATAGTTTTTATCCCTTGAAGTGCTGCACTGACTGGAGGTGGGACCTGATTGTCTGCTGATTTTACAGCTGTTTCTTTCAATACTCTCGTAATCAGAAATAGGATAGTAGGCAGGACTGTCATACAACCTAAACAAGACAAAGTAGAATTTCTGCAGTTATTTCCAAACAGTGCAGTAGATAACTTCTTCAGTATTCCCAAAATGGATATATATGGCTAGAAAGACAAACTGCAATTCACGTAACAAACTAGTACGTAGAATTCAGTATTTTATCACCAAATCCATTCACCAGTACTCTCAAAGTATATCATTAGCTTTTAACTTTGCCCTACATGGCAAAAAGGAGTTAGACTCTCTCATGGATGCCATCAGAAAGTTAATTATCTTGAAACACCATCTGTACATGTCTAAGGTCTTATAAAAAAAAATCTACAATAACAGATCTGTGAACAGGTATCCAAAGTCAGGGCACTATCCAATGAAGCAGGTGTGTATTACAAGCCTCAGAAGTAAGAAGGAAGTTCAGAGTGTTTCATGTCTTGGGTAAAATTTGTAACCATTTGATTACTCTACAAAAGAGACAAGTGCTCCTACCTCCTATATATCATAGCTGTTGATGTCATCAGAAAAGCAGTCTAAATTTCGTGCAGCAAGCCCTAAAGGAGCAAGTTGTGCTCGAGAAGTACTGGTCAAATAACACAATCCGACTTTAGACACATGGGAACTTCATTAAAAGCAGTTTCAGTAATCCATACAGACTCCAAGCAAGTGCAGGAATGAAAGAAGGGCGCTAATGGGCTTAGGTGTATAATATCAATCTACAACTCATTTCAGACAGCGAAGTCTCTTTCCACATTTAATTCTTAATCTTTTCTGTGCCACGTTTTTCCACATCTGTAGAAACTACCCACAAATTTGTGTCCTTTACAACTGAACTGCACTAAGTGCAATTACCCTAGTTTATGCATATCCTCTGTGGCAGCCTCCCTGGACAGAAGAAAGCTTTATGTAGTTTAGAGTTACTTTTGGGATGACTGACAGCCAATGGCTGAAAAGCAAAGTGCAGCAGAGCTAAATTGTGCTAGTTTTTCCTCACTGTGGTTCTTTTTCATCAAAATTCTGCTTCTCCTGAACTTCTCAGGAATTTAATTACTTCTTAGATGTCAGTCTTTCACAACATGATTAAAATCGGTCAAAATCAGGAGGTTTGGGAAAAAAAAAAAAAAAAAAAAAAGAACCGGGAAGAAGAAACAATAATGATATAGAGCTCATTTCCTCAGCACACTTACAGCACACATGCAGACTTGAAGCCATTTTCCTAATGTTCTGGAGATCACTTAATGTTCTGGAAATCACTGGAGAAGCCTGAGCTCCTAGTTTATTCTAGAACCTAAGCAACACTTTCAGATGACCTTTAAACATCATATAAGAATTTAATTTTGTTTTAGTATCATAAGCTCACAGGATCCCATACAGTAACCATTCATGTCTTTTGTCAATACTTTACCTGCTGGAGAACAGAGAGAAGGTAGGTCAGACAGTATAGTGACAGTGGCAGCCACAAGACGAGCACTCTCCTCAGAAAGATGGGATTTGGCAGCAACGTGACTTGGAGAATCTGACACTTTGGAACTTAGATGGGGCATGTGTCGTACCAGGATAAACATGAGCAATTCCATGGCTGCAAATACTAGAGATTTTCCAGGTACAAGACCACCAGTCTCACCTCCCTCTCCTAAAGCAAGAGGATTTTCTTTTTCTCCAATATCCTCTTCATCTGGAAAGAAAGGAAATAAATGTTGAGGATACAGTTAGAAAAAGAGATTCCATATCAAAGATTATATAAAACACTAATAAAAAAAAAAAAAAAAAAAAAAGAGATTAAAAATCCACAGAAAATAGTTGCTTCAAACAAAGATACTATAAACACGACTCATGTCAAAATAAATATTCTAGTTTGAAGGACTTAAAGGGGTTTAAGATGCTTTAGAATAATTGTAATTGCAGCAATAGTTCTAAAAAACCATTCTGAACTAGAAATAACAAAGTAGTAACAAAATAAAAATGCGGCAAGTTTTTCTTTCTCATTCTAATGGCAAAATTAAAGGCAATGACTGTCAAATAAATAGTCATTACAGTATTTTTTTAATTTAATGGCTATAAATTAAGTGTTCAACACTGACAGATCTTATTTCAGCCTAAGCTAACCATGAAATAAGAGAACAGAAGAGCATAGTAGGATTCTATGTCTTAACTCCACAATTTCAGTGCATTCAATTTAGAAAGGCTCTCTTTTGAAGGCAGCTCAGCCAGCTGCAGTCCTGCCTTCTCCCATAAAACAGTAACAGAGATTCAGCACATCAGAACTGGCCTGAACCACCCTCACAGAGCCCCTGTGAATTTAAATGATTGCTAGAGTTTTCACATTTGCTGATTTGAAAAAAGCAACTTACCAGACCGATAGCAAACAACTCAATTAATTCACATGAAGGAACAGAGCTTACATTTTAGCTATGCTGGTTCCTCAAATTCTAACAAAATCCCCTCTCTGTCTTCACTTAGAAAATGGGTAAAAGCTAAGTTTTCTCCTAACAGCACACAGTGCCAGAACCATATAGTAGTTTTCCTTAGTAAGAAAGGCATCCTTTAGGTTTTACTTTTCTTCCTTGAAGTAAAATAAAACACGGCAGATCTAACCTAACCAGATACAATAAATGCCCCATGGCATCATACTTTTTCCTCATATTCTGTGTGGATTTCTGCTTTACTTCTTCTATCCACTGTCATCTCATCATATCCTTTTCAGAAATGTCTGGCTTGCTCTTTTCTTCAGTCTCCTTTAAGAAGGGGAGATTGCCATTCAATCACCTGTTAACTCTCTTCTGCAACCAAATAAGTTCAGCTTGCTCATCCTGCCATTCTTATCTTCCCAAGCATCTAATTGGACCTTCACTGGACTTAAACCTTTGTCAACACCTCCATCACTCAGGATAGGAAAGAAAGGATTGAGAAAACAAGACACAGCTCCAGACACAGCTTCGCAAGCTTAAGTGAAAAGAAAATTTCCCTTGATTTACTGGCCACATTCTTCTAATGCAGTTCAATAACTGAGTATTCAGCATTGCAGACATGCACAGATTCAACTATCCAGTCCACATCTCTCCAGTTTTTCAGTGATATAAACAACTTTTGCAAGATTATTCACACAGTAATCACCCACCAGAAGGCGATTAGACTTTATTTACCCTTACTGAGTTTATGCTAACTTTTCCCAATCACATTCTTGAACTCTGAAATTATTTCCAAGGGGACTAACTCCAAAAATCTTTCAACACACAAGGCAAACTTATTGATCCACGTATCCCAGAACACTCTGTAGAGCTACCCTTCCCACAGATGGTAAAAGATTACATGAGACTCGCAAGGCTTGTGATTGGAAGGCTTCTTCCAGTTGGTTTAATATGGCTTCATCCACCTCTTCTTCTTGATTAAGCAGTCTGTGGCAAACAAGAAGTCTTTGACTGCTCTATCACCCTTCAGTCCCTCTTACAGGTACTAGTTCTGATCCAGAAAAGAAGAATGTCTAGCCCAGATGCCTACTCCAACACTTTGTTTTTCTCTTGACAGTCCTACAAGGTTCTCTAACCAGATGAATGGAGATAAGAGAAAGCTTTTTGCTGCTGGATGCCACAACCTTGCAGTCTCCACCACTGTAGGAGTCCCATGCTCCATATTCCAGCACAGCCTTTGCCTGTCCGTCCTTATGTGAGGCATGCATCTCAGGCTCCTGTCTCTGCAAGATCTTAGTGAAGAATATGCCATTTCTCCATTTGGCTTTCCAGACACTACACAGTCTGCTTACCTTCACACGCATTTCCTTCATAACCTACTGATGAGATCAACCTCACCCCTAGCCCTGCATGGACAAGCACCTCGAGTACAGTCACATTAGGAGTTTCATCTGAATTTTCAAGGCAGGTCATTAGACTTCTGATTTCCCAGAGGTGACTGTTCCTCAATCAGCAGACTGTATGTTGCTACCTGTCACTGCCATCATTATGCTGACTCGAGCAATCCTACACAGTCTTGAGAAGGACTTCTGGGTGGCACAAGCACGTCTTTCCTTGCTCCTGTTTGCACACCCTGTTCTCAAAGCTTTTGGTTGAAGACACACCCTACATGACAGTTCAGAACCAAGATACCAGTCCACTTCACTTCCAGACAAGAACTCTTGGTTAGTAATCAAATTTTCACGCTGGTTCCAGTAGCAATTAGCTCACCTCATACCTGCCAGTCCTGACAGGGAGACACCACAGGACCCAACGCGCCACAAGACACCACTAAGATTCACAAATCAATGAAATGCTAAGATCCAGTCAATAGATAAACATTAATGAAACAATTGGACTAGATGATTTTAGAGGTCTTTTCCAATCCTAATGATTCCATGAAACTAGGTATTACTAAGACCTTACAGTGGCTTGTTGAGTGTAATTTTCATCACTCAAGTTCAAGAAAATGAGACATGAAAAGAATGACCACTGGAATTATGAGGGGAAGGAGAAAATCTTACAAGAGTTAAGAAATCAGCAGGTAGTTTTATGAACGCAGCTACAGCACCTGTGGAATATACAGCATTTTCCTCCTCAGTGTAACCACTGTGTAATGCATTTGAGACCCTCCTCAAACATGAAAACCCACTGCTTCTTTAATCTACAAAACAAGCTATGTTTTCAAAGTCTTACTTAGGGAGTTCCTCTTTTCCTGCAAATAATCCTGAGCTGCTCTTACTATCTGCTGGACAACTCCTGTAACCAATAGTTGGACTGAAGTAGGATCCCAAGTCAGGAGGAGTCGGTGAAGCACACTCAGGAGTTCAACACCAAGGAGCTACAATAAACCAAAACACAAACTAATTAGGGCTTAACAATTCCCAATTGTTACATCAATTGCTTAGAGCAAGCAGATGCTTCTCTTGCTCAAGAATAATTACAGGTTCTTTAATCATCACAAATGAAAGATCAAGACTCAGGAAAGCTAACTGACATAACATGCTCATACAGTACCTGATCCTCTGCAATATGGATCCTGGCACAAGGGGAATCCAATAAAGTGTGAAGTGCTTGTAAACAAGATGTAACATGTTCAACAGGCTCTTCAGGTCTTGGGGAACAGAGAAACTGTATGCTAACACCTAAAAAGAGCAGTAATTAAAGAATGTTCACTTCATCAGCTATCCACAGCTACATCACAACTACTGTACAGAAATGATAAAAATCACACTGACAAATACTCTGTCAAAGCTGTGAAATATACAAGAGGTAGAGAGAGACAGAGATATTTCAAAATATTACTGTCCAGACAAATAATGCATTTTAAAATTCCTCGGTTTAAATAAAACAAAATTTTCTTACTCCCATTTCATTTTGTAACAACATGCTGGTAGTGCACTCGAAATTCATAGCTCTTACCCAAAATTAAGTGCATGCGATCTTTGTTCAACTCTGGCAAAGATTTAGTGGTAGGTGGAGTTCCAGGTGTCTGGTTTAACATAATAGATGTGCTACGTTTCTGTGAGTTAGGCATTGCTGCAGCAGTCTCTTCTGTCAACTCAGAAGCACTGAAACCTGTACTGTTTAGCCAAAGTGCCACTGCATGAAGTATAGGAGCCCAAGAGTTTCGATAATGCAGTCTAGCTGTATCAATTGTTTCAGGAGTGTAAAATGCTCCTCCTATTAAATAAGAAAAAAAAAAAGATCAATTCTGAAATTCTCTCCAAAGGTAAACTCTGAAATTCTCTACAAATAATAGACAAAAAGCATGTATTCTAAATTTCTTATTTGCTCATACTGTGTTTAATCATGTAGACATTCAGATGTAACCCTTGTTAGTCACAGTGTATTCCAACACTCCTTCTGAAGAAGTAACATTAGCACATCTCACAAAGTGCAATGGCCATGATGGAACAGTAAGAAGAAAGTCAAGAGTTGCACTAAAATACATCAGATCTTACGGCCTTTTTCATACAGAACATTCAAATTTTGTAAGACCACATCCACTGTAATCTCATGGATTGTGTTTCCTTAAAGTAAACATCTTTTTGCATTTGATGTCAAAGTATTACAGCTGTAAAACGCGCTGTTTTGTTTTCTATTTCTACAAGAATATTGTTTTAATCATCTTTGTGAATCAGATAAAGAATTTTTCATTGTAGATTAAAGAAAAACCCAACACAAACTTTCAGCATACATTTCTATTACACAAAACCAAAAATTACTTGCATCGTTTTGTCTAACAGATGAAAAATCACACCTGCCAAACAATTTAAAGAATTTTAATAAAACAGCTAGGAGGTTTACTTTGTTCTTCAAACCAACACAAAAAATAAATTTCAGTATTTACCATCTGGTGGAAGCTGAGTCGCAAACTCAGCTGGTAGGGTTAGAAGAGCATAATCTTTCAGTGCAGCTAACCAGAGGCGGCTAAGTGAAAGCAACTCTGGCTGTACAAGTGTTATCAAACTGTCAGGTGGCAACTCGTCTACTGTGCCAAAATCATCCTCATCCTCCTCTGTACTCTTTAAAACACGTTTGGGTTTGGTCTCTGCTTCTTTCTTAATTTTCATGGCCACAACATACACCTAGGAGAAACAGAGATGAAAAATTCACATCGTGAAATCGAAACAACAAAAAAACAGCAGCAGCCTTTTCCTTAGAGCAGATTAGGTACGATATGCATAAAGATTAAAATGGCCTTTAGTGGGTTACGTGAATACAAGAGCATTTATATGTTCATCTTGGAAACATGCTATAAAAGGATTTTCACACAAATATGGGAAGCAGAAGTATCAGAAAAATACAGTAAAAATAAGCATTTTTTGAATTAGGAACTTCACACAACAGATGCTCCATATCAAAGCTGAATGTAATATTATGGGGTGACTAACAGGCTTACATGGCTGAATAGTTGACACTTCCCTTTGAAATTTCAAAATAAATTTCCAAGAAAATTTAATCCAAAGGTCCTCAAAGCACTACTCCAAAAGAAATCAAAATATAATTTATGTAATTAGACATGTAGCTCTAAAGCACGCAAACAATATTTCAGGGAGCAAGACAACATAAGCACTTCTTTCTTTTGCAGATAGTTTAAGGTTTTAGCAATATCTATGTTTAGCCTGCAATTTGTTGTGAACTCTAAAAAAAAAAAATTCTAATTGGTTAACTACAATATTTTATGAAAATACAGTGTAAGAGTATGAGAGTGTACAATACAATAAAATACAAAAGCACCACTAGACAAAAAGGCAGAAAAAAAGAATCAAGAAATACACTGACATGAAAACACACCAAGAGTGGAACTGCAGTAGGAAAGGAGGAAGGCAGAGATAAGGCTAGCTGACTGACTAGCCAGCAGGGTTTGATGCTGCTGAGGTTAAATCTTTTCAAACATTTGAAGATGTAATAGGAAATGGTTACCTCAGCCCATGCTTTCAGAACTGCAAGTTTTTCCATAGTGGTGGCACTTTCCCGGTAAAGCTGGCTGGAGGATCCTTTTCCTGCTTGTACTTTATCCAGAGAAGAGACAAGAAGGTTGTGAACTCGGCGGAGATCATTGAGGTCACTTACAACCCCACTTCCTATCCATGCGCTACATACCTAAACAACAAAGGTTAGAATCACTCTCCATCAGCAAGAAAAACAGATAACTTCATAAGTAAAAACCATAGAAAGAAATATAATAACAAAATCTCAACCATTCTAGCCTGACATTTTCCTTTCTTCTCTCCACTCCTGACAATAGAATTGTTCAGGTCAATGGTCACAAAGGCTGTTTTCAATGGCTACTGATACAACGAAACTCAGATACATAGAAAATACTTAGTTTGCGAGACACAGAATCATAGAAGGGCCTGAGTAGAGAAGGACCTCAAAGAGCATCCATTTCAACCCCCTGCCATGGGCAAGGTTGCCAAACACCAGACCAGGCTGCCCAGAGCCACATCCAGCCTGGCCTTGAATGCCTCCAGGGATGGGGCATCCACAGCCTGGGCAGGGCAACCTGTTCCAGTGCGTCACCACCCTCTGAGTGAAAAACTTCCTCCTAATATTCAACCTAAACCTCCTCTGTTTCAGTTTAAAACCATTCCCCCTTGTCCTATCACTATCCACCCTCGTAAACAGTCATTTCCCCTCCTGTTTCTACGCTCCTTTCAAGCACTGGAAGGCCACAATGAGGTCTCCCTGGAGCCTGCTCTTCTCCAAGCTAAATTCCCCCTAAACAAGTGATCACAAAGTTTTTATTCTGTTCCCACATATCTGATCAAATCACTCAAGTACTGTTTTTTCCCATTCAGAGTGAAGGTGATATTGCACAGCAGTTCATAATGGTATATCTTCAAAAGCTATAACTCAAATTACATGTTAAAGCTCTATGAATGAAAAGCTAATGAAAAGCTTCCAAGATCATAAACGGCTTTAAGAAAACATCAAGAAAGGAGTAATATAAAAAGTTTCAGATATGGCTCGGGTATGAAACAAACAGTATCATATTCTAGATGAGTCAGCACCTGACATGGAGGTCAGACAGTTGGGCGTCTCCCTACTCCTGCTCTTTTTTTTTTTATTTTTTAGATTGAACAAACTAAAAACAGGCACTTAAAACTGAAACAACAAACAAATCATAACTTCCTGTCTAGTGCTACACACGGGCGTTCATCCTCTTACACTCAGACAAAAGATTTTTGGTACAAATGCAGTACAAACACCAAAAAGAACAAATTCTGCAAGGATGAGAAAAAGCAGCAAAATGAAGAAAAAATGCAGGAGGGGGAGAAGGGAGAGTGGTGGGAAAAAAGAGTTCACAGACTCTTTTCTGATGGCAGTCTTGTTCTATCTCTAGTTTATTTTGCTTTGAGAAAACCAGTTCCTTTAGGGAAGGCCTGGAATGATGGATATGTTTAAAAGAAATACATGGTTTATTTACACACTTGGCTCTGCAGATAGACAGGACAGGACTGCTGAAAATCTGTTACAAATTCAAAATCCATTCAAAAGTAGGACTAAGATCAGCTTTGCTCCTTCAACTCTAAATCATCATTAGTGAGTATAGTTCATCAAAGATATCTGAATGAATACATTCCCATTTGTCTTACTACACATTTTCTATTTTTTTTCTTTTTCTCAGTTTTCTTTTTCTTGTCCAGTTATCAAGCAGCATAGAATTGATGTGGATTCAGAAAGACTAAAAAGAATATTGCCAGATGACTCTAAAGACATTGCAAAAAAAATCTCAGCTTAAGCTTGCAATATTTTCCAGCTATTTACTACTGTTCTCTTCTGCATCATTCTTCCAACAAGAAGAAAAATCATACACGTCTACTGCATAAAGGCACAAAATGTATTCAGTTTGGCTTATACCATGTGAACATACTCTTCAGTACCTGGCAGGCCTTGGCAGTTATGTCAGATGGTGTGTCTTGGGAAAATGCTGGCCTCAGAGCAGCTCCAACCTGGAAAGAGGAAAAAATCCAATGTAAAACAATAGTGACAACACTCTTCATTCAACCTTGCTTAAGGTTCAGGAGTATATACAAAACATGCAAGATAAGACTGTTAGTGTTTATAGTTATACCTCAAAATTATGCTTGCTATCTAGCAAACATTTGCAGCAGTATCGTATAAATGACAAAGAACTGTTTTTCTGTTGCTTGTCTTCCAATAGTCTTTTTAAGCCCCAACTGCCTTTGCATACATGTGGCATTCTCTTTTTGTCATTAATGAACATCCTTTTACACATGAAACTACTATGAATTCAACTTATGCTGAAGCTGCACAGACAGTGATTTTTTGAACTCCAACAGAATAATAAGGCAAAACCAGGTGTTCATTACTGCATTTGTATCATGTTCTCAAAATGACAGACAAAAGAAGAATTAGTCGGTTGTTTTCAGACAGTGTTTTTCTGGAATAGAAAGAAGTCAAAAAGACAGCAACAATAGTTACAGCAGTACAGAAGGAAGGAGAATAAGATGAGGATAGGATGAAAACCTGTCTTGAAGAAGTGTTTTTCAATTCTGAAAACACAGAAGAGAAATCAGAGGAAAACCAGATAACTTGAGGTGGGAAACAGGCAAGGAATGGTGGCAGCATAGAGAACTGTGGTAGGCACAGAAGGTACAAATAGCAAAACTTGACAAGATTAGAGGAAACCAGTGCAATCTTAGGAATGATTCCAGAGTTAGCCATGTCACTCCAAGTGGAAGGGAGACAAAGCCCTTAACTTCATCTCTCCTTTTAGTATATTTCCAACAGGTAACAGAATTAGAAAGCCCATATCACCCTTCTAATTCTCATATCAAGTGTCCCTACTCAAAAGGATGTTTCTGTATGAGGAATGAAATAAATATTTTGTAAGATGTTCACAGATTCTTCTAAGGACCAGTGCACTATCCTAGACTATTCTCAAGTTAAAATGCAGTCTAGAAACCACGTGTATTTAAAGACTTAACAGATTGATCAACGTGCATCAGCAAAACATAACTGGTATGCCCTAGGACTTCCAAAGCAACAGGAAGTCAATCACAGTGTGAGTATTGCTACTAAAAAAACCTACAATGCCATGAAAGCAGTTATTTATGCAGAAAAAAATGGCAAGTTTCATAACATGGAATTATAATGATAGAATGGTGTTCCCCTCAAGTACTGGGAGGCCACAGCGAGGCGTCCCCGGAGCCTTCTCTTTTCCAAGCTAAATAAGCCGAATTCCCTCAACCTTTCTTCATAGAAAGATTTGTTGGCTTGAGAAAGATCCCCTGCCCCTCTTCATTTGGCCAGGTGCCCTATTTGAAACTCATTCTTGCAGGCAAATTCATCTTATGATAAATGTAAATACTGAAGTCAGTGGGATAAATCATATATGCAATTGTTTGCAAGGCTTAGATCTTCTTAAATGAATCAAATGAAAGAACTAACAAAACTGATTATAGATGCAAATCAGTAAGAACCAACCAAGAAAAGAAGAAGCCCACCCGTCAGATCACACTATCCCTTAAGCTTTGCTCATTCTCACACTCAAGTCTGAGGCAAGAGATTAATCTTAAGCATGTTATATATCTATAAGTCAAATCTGGAGTACTGATATTTCAGTATGATATGGAAAATTGTTATGATATATTTAGAACTTTAAAAATAAAAGACAGGAGAGTTAAGCTATGCAACAAAATAATGCAATAATTTCCCAAAATAAATCTTCAACCACTCACCTCCCATTCCCACACTATTGTCATTTTTGTTCAAAGCCAAGTGTATGTATTCATTAGTTCCCAAGAAAACAGATTTATTAGATTATTCTGGGATTGAATCAATGTTATTTTCAAATTCTTCATTCTACAGATGAAATACCACTCTTGCAAAAAAAAAAAATAAAATCAAGTTTAATTTGTAGTATTTGGCTTTCAAGAATCAATAGTTATTGGTGTTTTTTTTGTTGTTGTTTTTGTCAGCTAATAAATTATGATAAATAGCAAGAGATACACAAATTTCGGAGTGGTAAATAAAGCTGCCTCTTTAGTACATTTTCAAACAAAAAACCTCTTCACAGGTCTTTTGAAGTTACAAAATGTTCTCAAAGCTAACTCTGGCATATTGGCATAAACATACAGTTTCATGAAGTTATAAAGAAGGTCTCACATTAGCCTGGTATTGCTCCAGTATCACATGGCCTGGAAACTCTGGCTCAGGAACTGACGCAAATTTCTTGATAATGTCTTCAAGAGCTTGAAGACCCGCCATTCGTAGCTGGTTGCTGTGATCAGTTGCAGCCATGAACGCCATTCGAATAAGGTCAGAGAGATGCAGTACTAAGAAGTCATCTTAAAACAGAACAAAAGAAGAACTATTTAATAACTGAAATTATACCCGATGACAGACATTTGTAATATTTTCCTAACAGAGATGTACAGATTTCATATGTTCCTTTCTGAAGGTACGCATTTAGGAAATAGAAGAAATACAAGAAAGAATGTAGCCTTTTTTCTTCCCACCTCCTTTAAACTGACATAAAAACATTTATTCTCAAGACAATATTAAAAATTAAGCACAAATTTGAAACAAAGTAAAATATGAGACAAAAAACATGCATTGGATAGAATATTTTAAATGTGGCTGAGTAGCTTGTAAGAGGTAAGAACATTCAGTAAAATGGATTTCATGGCTCCTTTCTGCCCTATATTTACAGAAAATCTTCAAGGCAGTTCTTGAGTCCTTTGCTTATAGTGACCTCTGCTGACAGAAGAAAGCCTCGTCAAATTTAACACTTAACAACTGAGTATGCCTTTCTACTTCTGTACCCAAGGGCCACATCCAAGGCCATCAGCAAGCAGCCACCAACGTGTAGAGAAAAGCAGCAAATGACTCATTAACACCGTGAAAGGATATTTCTTCTGTTTGTATTTCTTTCTTTACTTTCAATTTGAATTACCAGATGTTGTGCAATAAGAAAATATATTATTTAAAAACATAAATATCCAGGGCAATTGATTTAAAAAAAAAAAAAAAAATCACAATTAATGCTCTAGATCTTTTCAAGTTCAAAGACAAAATAGTTCATTTTGTAGCTGAAATTTTCAGAAGCATGCAAACAGTAAAGACTGTCATTAATTCTTCAGGTCACCACAGATATAGCAGTGAACATCAAATAATTTGTAAGTTGAATTTATGGGTAGAGATTTGGTGAGTTTTCCTTTTATGATGATACCAAACAAATCAAGTTCACATTCAATAAATTTAGTGATGTATATTCTCAGGATTATTATGTGCAATTCTCTGCAGGATCCTATGAAAAAGCAGCTCTTTTATGATTTTCCTCTACAATACAACATTTCCAAAATCAGCTTCCCAAAGCTCTTCCCTCTCACTCTTCAAACACTGACGCCAGCCTCTAATCAAGTAAAAACCAACATTCTCAACAAAACCAGTGCACGGTTCTGGAACCAGACACATAATATCCATATCAGAACAGAAGCCTGTAACAGCACAGGTGCTAAAATCCACAAACCCTATGCATTCTAGGATCTTCATACATGATATTCAGCCTACGTGTACATGAGCTCCTCATGAACGCTACACTACACAGCTGAAGGCAATCACTATGCACCAGAACCAATACACATAGATGAGCAAAGGACAGAAACTTCCCACTACTAGTTTGAAACTGTCTTGTGAAAAATGTGTTACGTCATTCCCAGCCTCTCAGTTACAATTCTCCAAGTTATACACGTATCTTGAATACATGATATTTACCAGTCTCACAGATATCAAAAGAATTTTATAAAGCAACTGGGTTCATCCCTCACACGTCCCTCACTCTGCTACAGCAATTTACCTGGACTTATCTTTTTCCTCTCATAGCACTCTTTTGCTGTGGAAATGCTAAAATAATAAGAACTGTGTATCACCACTATTGTTAGGCTAGACTCAGATAAATTATTCCCAGCTTACATTTGACCAGAAGTTTACTCCTTGTATTTCAAACTAAAAGAAAGAGTTTGCAAGCCCTTTTCTTCCCACTCCCAAGCAGATCAGTCTGTTAAAGTTTAAGGGAGAATATGACATCATTTTGTGTTCATGGCATGGTAACTATAACAGTTACATAACCACAGCTTCGGCCTTTTCCTATTTCCTCTGTTTTTAACTGTTTGAATGAAAGGAAGTTCACTTTCAAAGAGCTTACATTTTTATCTTGGTTGTGCAATTTTAAGCCGCAAAGAAGTATCAACAATAAAAAAAATTAAACATGCACATTCTATAATTACTTTTTGGGTTTTTAAGTCTGGCTGAACGAGCCAGCGCCAGATCAAAGTGTGCCTTGTTTGCATTCTCACACAGCATGATCACTCGGCACAGGCAGTCGGCTGCAAATACACGAGTTGCCCAGCGAGGTGCTACAGAAGGCTTGGTTTTATCCTCTTCACCCAGGGTAGTAAACATTGTATCATCATCCATCTCGTCCTTCTTCTCCGATTCTTCATCCTTACCTCCTCCCAAGGGAGCTGCAGTGCTCATGTCTACAGTAAAGAACAATATTAAGAAAAATCCTGATGTTAAAAACTACAGATGACTAAGAACATTACTCAAAGCCCTACAAGATTCTAAACACATCCTCTTAGTGAGTATGGTGCTGATGGATTGATGGTTGGACTTAGATGTCTTTTCCAACCATAATGATTCTATGAGCCAAGATGTTCAAAAGAGAGAAAGGCTATGGTAAATCAAACATGGATGAAGAAAACTCAAAACAGCAATGTTTTGAGAAACTGATCAGGAAAGCTTGTGTACATGATTCGTAAATCTCTACTTAAAAAGAAAACTAAATTTTGTTCATATACCACTTGGTGGTATCAAAGAGTGCAAAATGAAGTTTATCTCAGTTATTAAAATATAACTGAGATAAATTTATTTAAATATTATCAGAGATTATTCCATCTACTAAAAACATGAAGAGGAGATAAGACATTCATATTAAAAACTCTAACATCCATCCCATATAAAATAAGGAAAGAACATTCCACGTTCAAATTCAGGAAGTGACGTCTTTCCCACAGAATAAATAAATGGTAAATATATTGCATAAAAAAGAGACTGGTAGCATTAGTCATCAGTAAACAAAGATGACAATAATTAGAAGAGCTTCAAGATGAACTCACAATATGCCAATAAATAAGCATAAATGGAAGGCAAATTAGCAGAATCTGCGTCACAACTATCCTTCAAGCTGAAAAAGAAGTATAAGGTCTCAGAGCACAAAGATCTTTGCAAACAAATCTGCAAGGCTAAACAACACACAAAAAAGTTTCATCACTATGGTAACCCATCTTCACATCAGAAGCTCGAAGGGAATAAAGGAAAGCTCTGAGCATGTACAGCACTGTTCCTTCCCTATGGGTCTGACGCACGGACACTAAAAAGCATTTGTCTGTTTTCACAATTGACAGCAACTTTTTTTAATCTTAAAATAAATCTTACTTTTAAAAATGTAACATAACATTGATGATTTCATCTAAGTATGTTTAATGAATAATAGTTAAAGCTCCACATACAATAGAAACTAGATCTTAAGTGGGACAAAGGACAAGCTCAAAATAAATATTGCCAGAAGATGCAAATACTAAGGACACACCATCTTTTACGTGCACACCATAGAACACTTACCACTGGAAGCTGCAAGGACATCCTTACAAAGCATTAGCCAGTGAGAAAGGTTTTCTACTGCCAGAGATGAAAGCATATGTCCCAGAGTATCATGGATATCTGAGCACAACTTCCGATCCGTTTCTCGATCCAGCATACCGAAGAGGACGCCTTCGAGGCCTGTCTCTGTGATATTAACGCCCTGATGCCGGGAATGAGCATCTCGCCGAGAACCAGCTCCAGGGGTAAAAGTATTAATATCTGTGAAATGATATTTATAACATCATTTTCTGAAATCAGTAGCTCCACTTTACAATTTGGAGTAACAAATGAGAATTGGACTCTGAATTCACACAAGTACACCTAAGTTCAGGAAATGACACACCATGATGTTACTGAATTTCTTCCAAATTAACATTAGAAAGCTTTTACAGCAATCTTTTTTTTTTTTCTTTTTTTCTTTTTTTTTTTTTTTCTAGCATCTGAGTATTACTTCAAAAATAATTATCATCTATTTCTCTTCAAGGTACACATTCCTCCAATTTCTAAAAGTGCCTAATAATATTTTATTCTGAAGAGCCTTTCTAGAGACATACTTAATAAGTAGGATTTAATACTAATTAAGCTCACAATTCTACATTCTTTGAAAAACACTGTGTTTATCAAACTGTTGAATTTCCTATTTTCAGAATAAACTGATGCATGTAGGCATTGAATCAATCAGCATAGTTCAAAGGCTAGTAGATGTGCTGCTAAGAGAATTTAACACTGTATGACATACAGACAACTGTATGCTGTTTGGTGGAGATAAGTCAATTTCCAACAGAGGAATATCTAAAATACTTAAAAAACTATAAGACATTTCCACTGTATATACACTGTATTTCCTATTTGATTTCTATTAGTCAGTAGGGCAGAAAAGGTTAAGTCCAAATTTCACAGGAAGTGAAATGACAAATGAAATTCAAGAAGTAAGCAGAGGTGGGGAGAAATGTTATTCAAGTGTGTAGGGATGGCAGTAGAGTGGATTTTTTTCTTCCTGAAGGCAAATCACACGCATGCACGAATACATGCATTCAACTGTCCCAAAAAGACCACATGAAAGAAGTACTTACTGATGCCATTATTTTCTTTGTCTCCAGCATTTTTTGCTAAGCTCATGGCATATTCACATACTTCCGCTGCTTCTCTCTGAGCAAGCTGTCGTAAACACGCAACTGCAGCCCGGCGAAGCAGCAAGTGGGAGCTGCACAAGTGAACCTAAATCAGAACCATTGCATGTGAGTGAACTGCACCTCCATACGAGTAAGTGCTGCTAAGGATTGCCAGTATTCTACATGGCCTTGTGTAAGCCTCCAGGTAGCAAACTCTTTACAAGATCTTAGAAGTTCACAGGTAAGCACTTACTGAAAGCAGAAATTTGAAAATAAAGCTGGTGTATACAGAGCTGACAGTTGTTACCTGTCAAAAGCTTTAATATTAGAACTGCTGTGTCAGTATGATTTTAAACAAATTATACTTTCCAGTCTGTTACACTCTTGAACACTGTTCCACGTCGTATTCTGCTATAGCTATAAATCACTTTAAAAGCAACCACACAACAACTCTAAAATCTTCCATTTCAAGCATGCACCAGAATTTATAGCACATGTTTTTATATGTTTCTGTCAAGATGACAGCTTCAGGTCTTTTTGCTAACCAATACCGGGCTTCCATTTCCTTTTGAATCAGCTCAAGTACAAGCAAATATTTTTCTTAGGAAGAATTGTGCATGGTAACTATTTCCTCGGGAGGTAGTAGCTGCACAGAGAACTGTATGTTTTTCCACTGTGGAAGAGATGACGAGTGCTCTTTAAGAAACTGACTCTTTAGTTACCCTGGGGAAATTGTTTTTAATAAACTGAATACACATTTGCTTTCTCAGTAGTAGGTTATTATGTGGATGGAAACTGCAGCCCTAAATGAAAGGGTTGTATAGTGTATAAAGCACTTCAACAGTAGATCTTTATTCTGTTTGTGAATATACAAGACTTAGATACTGGAAAAACAAATCCACTTTTATACAATCCTCTAAATATCGCACTAAAGCATTCCTTGTTTTTCATTACAAAACAAACAACCAGTGGTTATGATGCCAATACAGGAAAGCAGAAAGCAGCTCCAGTGGTTTAATTTTGATACCTGGCATTAATTGCATAAAAGAGCAAGTTAGAATGTAATGAAAAGCTTGTTAATGGGGAAAAGGTAATGCAGACTCTGCTTACCTAGCCATAAGTTCACAGTAAAAAGAAGTGAACAAGACAATTCAAAGGAAAACCTACCAAGCTACATATGACTTGGAAGTAAGGAATATGAAAAAAAGTGAAGGAAAATAGCTTTTGTTTAATAAAGGATCATTAACATGAAACGGATAGCAGAAAGCCTAGGAAAGGTTTTTAGTACTGGTCATGCCAGCAGTAACTTCATTTTCTGCACTATTACCCACTAGTGCTCACAGAGTGACTAACTAGAACTATTTGCCACACTGTGCACAGTATTTATGGAATAGGGCCTAGATATTTCTGGTATGTTACATCTCTGTCATGCAAAATTCTGTGTAAGAACAGGTGCTGCACAGCAGCATTTCAGTGTGTGGGGGAAAGTAAAAGTACATATGCAGGGAAATACATGTAACAATGCAAGGATGTCTGTGGGAAAGTCAGGGAGGGAGACTAAGAAAAAGCTCCAATATTGACATAGGGTAATAGAGAAACACTAGTTTCACAGTGAATTTTAAGAACAACTTCTCAAAAACACCAAACAGACTTCAAAGAGAAGCTTTCCAAACTTCACAGCATTAGACTGCTAAAAAACCCTCAATATAATTTAAAAATTAAATAATAGTAACAAAGAAACAAAAAAAACACATCTGTCTCTTACAGTTGCATTTTGTATGTTTTGGGTTCCAGCATCTGTTTCCTGGTTTAGGCCAGGATTTGCAGACAAAACAGCAACACAGGAAGAAAACAGTGCTAATCACAACAGCAGCACAAGAATTTGAGCATCAGCATCTACCACACTGACAGTGGTAAAGCAAATCCAAGACCTCCTGCCTTTCCCAAATTCACTTTCTTCCCTCTGTGCATGCAGTTCCTTTAGCTGGAAGTAACTAGGCATTTGAGTAGTTTTTATTGAGTGATACCGTATATACTCTTGCTAGTGTGCTACCAGAGTGAATCCAGCTTTATGACGCAGATTTGGACAGCATTCTGAAAAGCATCTAAAACAGCTTGGGGACAGATACTCTTTTACTGCACTCCAATGTTCTGCAGATGTCACCTCTTTGTTATGAATGGGTACCCTTGGCATCCTACTAAACACCTCTCCTGTGCCCCTTGCTAGGCACACAAATAAATCTTGGAGAAACAGAAGGAATGCATTTTGTACTCACGCAAAGACTGGGAACCAGACTGGATAGGTTGACGTGCCGTGGTGCAAACATATGGAGCTGCTGAAGGCAGGATATGGCCGCTGCCTGAACGAGAGAATCTGAGTGGTCCTGTGTGATTGCACATCCCACCAAACAGGACGAACGGATTGTTGAAATTGTAGCTCCATTACCTGGTGATAAAATGTGACATTCTTAGCACAACAAGATTTTTGTATGAGAGCAACAGATTTTAAATCTTCAAACACTTTAATGCAAAAGAAATTGACAGAATTCACATGCAGCTTCTCTGACTTCCTACTGAAAAACAGTACATCTTGAAAGAATCACTATGGCGTGTTTCTATACCTCAGTATTTCGGTTCAGTTAAGCAACTCTCAGTCCAAATGAAATTTTTGGATCAACTGTCTTCAAACAAATGTTTTCAAAATATCTCCCCAGGACATAAAACTAGTAAGGGTAATTGAATTTCAACTGTGAATATCTTTTCCATTTTATGATATACGGGCAATATTTAATGCCCAGAACCATTTCCTAAAGTGTTAGGCAACACTTAAACTAGCATAAATGCTAGCTAATTTTGGTTAGCTCCATTGGATGAGTCATGTTGCTCTAACAGAACACACAGTTTAAAAAACAGAATCTGAAAAATAATTCTGTAATTAACCCATATGACGTTTAAAAGAAGTTTCTGAATTACAGAAAAATGCCTGCAAAAGACTTTCAGCATAAGGATGATGCTTATTAAAAAATGTCACAACATTCCAAATCAAATAAAGAGCAAGCAGACACTCAAGTTGAATCAAAGCATCTAGAAACCTTCCCATAATAGAAATGTAAGTTCAATTTTCCAGAATTTGAATTTCACAAGTGGCTAGCTCTATGACACTGTCTGAAAGACCAGAGTAAAATATTCCTAAAAAAATCACACTAGGACTCAGACCATGTTTTTTGCCATCTCAGCCACAGAACTTCAGATATAGGGTTAGATCTGTAAAAAAATCTTAATCATAATGGTAAAATACCATGATATGAAAATGTCAAGAATGAGTGGAAATTAGTTACTGTTCACAATGCCAAGAACTATGCCCAACTTAAGATTCTGTCATCAGTCAAAAATAAAGCTGCCAGTGTGCTGAAGAAGTAGAGGAGAAATGTTGCCTCTTGCCCGACAAAACATTTCTGGCAAGGGTGCTTCCCATCTTTTACAGGCAACATAAAATTGCTATAAAACAGAACATCATACATCTTTATGGCACTTTTATACACATTTTTCAAACTGATAGAAAAAAAAAAAAATAACGAAATGCCATAAGAAAACATCACCACATATGTTCAAAGTCAGAACTGAAGTTTTGTGCAGGACATTATCACAGATCACAGAATCACAGAATCATCCGGGTTGGAAGGGACCTCAAGGATCATGTAGATCATGTAGTTCCAACCCCCCTGCCTAGCAGGGCCACCTAACAATATATAATTGTTATAATTTATAATTGTTAAATCCCTTCCCCACAGCCTTCAATTACAACAGACAAAATTTGATTGTCCTCTGTTTAAGATCTGGATTAATTGGCTTTATAGAAGTTAATTTTTTATTCCTCTTCAGATTCACACTGACCTTGCAGCTCAGGCCCAACTGTAGTTATTATAGCTCCAAGACATCGGCCTAAGCATTGATGCACTTCTGTATGTGACGGTGGAACAGTTAAGAGCAGAGTAAGAACTAGAGAAAGCGTTGGCTCCACATATCCGCGGTACATTGGTCCACTAGAATCAACTATCAAGGCAAGTGAATGGAGAGACCAGGTCTATTAGAAAAAAAAAAAAAGATTTTTGGAGTAATATATTTAGGAAAGTTACAGAAACTTACATGTAGACTGAACTTAGCTCTGCACATCCTTGCTTACACATCTAGTTATCTTATCTGACTTCAGAAGGGTTTGAAAGATCATAACCTCAAGCAATCACCTGGGAGTTGAAATATTTCTAGCATGCTACTTGGCTGCCAGCACTTTTGTGGATAACGGAGGCAAAGATGACAAGGAATTTGAGCAAACACTTAAAAAAAACACAAAAAAAAAACCAAACAAGTCCCCTCTAATCCTCCCCCCTCCAAAAAAAAGAAAAAGTGAAAAGTGACCTTTAAGATAGGAAAAATACGGAATCACTTCTGTTGTAAAACTGGATGTAGATTCAGAAGCAGACAGTTGTCAAAGCATTTCGTAGGAAGTGCCTTTGACATTTTCAGAAACTGATTTACATCACAAGCTGAAAGGTTCACGTGCATTTTTACGAAGTACGGAAAAGCAATTATTCTAGTATTCTAGGCTTCATTGCTGAAGAAAATGAAAGATTCATCACTTTGCCTTTTAACATTTAACTTCATTCAGTACAGATGTATTGCTCCATATGCTCTTTTTACAGCAGCATCCACAAACAAAAAGTTACAGGACAGTAAAGATAGAAAAAGACACTGCTACCCTCACATTTCTTTTGGAAGAGATAAGACACAGCATGTTATCCCAGTTTCCAAATATTTTCAGCTTAGGAAATGCTCTGCACCACACTTTATTCATACATGATCTGTAACCCCAAAGGCAGCGCTCTCAGCAGCATATCTATTTCCCCTCTTACCCTACCAGCAACTTTTAGCAGTCAAATGGTTTTCTTGGGAGATCTTCCACATGTTATTAATACACAGTAGATAAACAGAAACTCAACTACAGAAACCTCCCACTTCCTTACTAGTTCTCCTACTATTCTCTTTTTGTCCTAAACGCAAACAGAAATTTCAGTTTATCTGCATCAGATTTCAAATTTTGTTATTATCGTATAACCTTCCCAGGAAGATGTACTGCTATACTTTGTTCACTGTTTCACACAAGCCGAAATTGCCTGACCAAAGAAAATGACTTCATTAGTTAAGTCTCCAACAGCTGACCATACACTGACCATTAGACAGTTACTAAAGCCTTAGTATAGACAGCTAAGGTAACAGCAGAGTTGGGCCTATTCCTAACCAACTGTCATTATAGAGCAAAATCTGCTGGTTTAACATTCCTTAGCAAATGCTATGTCCACACAGTTTGGCTTATATGACAATCTCTATTAAAAAGCACTTGAACAGATGATTTAACTTCTGTTTTAAAACACTCAAAATTAAAATTCATTCTGTGACAATTGTGGTTTGTTTTTGTTTTTTACCTGGACTTCAGGAGAAGTTCCATCTTGTGCCAAAGCCAAGAGAATACTGACACTGGTTTTCAGATGCTGTCCAGAACCTATCCCACCAACGTATCGATGGAGGCAACCCAGGGCCAAAGAATGGCCTGTTCTTGATACAACATCTCGAGCAGATTTTAACCTATGAACATTTAAATAAATCATGTAACTCAATTGATTTTTTGGAAAAAAAAAAATCCTTCAAGTACTCTAACTATTTAGATGACTCTCCTTCTAACAGCATTTTGCCATCCACCTCACAGACCTTGAGAAGCTTTACTTAATCTGTACTTAATCTACACTGCTATTAAACTGGATTACATATAAAGCAAAACAAAATTTTATTTTAATAACAACTTTTTCTTCCTTCTTCATATGTAAAGAAGATGTTTTCATAAAACACAACCACTGTAATACAATTCATGTTTTTTAGACATATATAGTGTAAGCTGAGTTAATCTGAAGCAGTTTAGTCACTTGAAGTAACTCATCAAAAACTCTTCATTTCTATCAATTTTAATTTCAAGTAATTTAACAAGTGATCTTTTATTCCTGGAAGAGTCACAAGAAATATATCAACATTTGAAGACACTGTTTGCAGATTTGGTAGGCCTGCCTAGTAATAAAGCATTAAAAGAAATAGTAATCCGTATGTTATTAGTAGATTTTTTTTAACATGCATTGAATTACATTTTATTTCTTTTCCTGAATCAAAGTCAACTTACTTATCAAAGCTGTACTGAGCCATTCGAGCGATGAAAGTGGCTTCTCCAACCACTTGAGCCATTCTACCAAGAGCTTCTCCTGCTGCACACCTCAGAATAGGGTTAGGGTTATCGAGTGCACCCATTACCAGTGTTAGAGCAGATTTGCGAACTTCTTCTGGTCCTAATGTGCTTTTGTTCTCAGCTAACCCCTACATGAACAAATATGAAAGAATATTCCAAGTACGTGGATGAAAGGAGCAGCAATATAAGAGCGAGCTTCAACTAAAAATTACACATTTTTTTGCTTACATCTGTGTACATTTTTCCTAAAATACGCTTCTTGAAAACATTTAGAACTCAAAACCAATAACATCCTCAGTCCCACCTTTGTCAACATTCCACCTATTTCACATACAGTAAGGACTTACTACACCTGTCTCTGTTTACAAATGTGTTACAGCACAATATGCATGCTGATAGCATTGAATCTTAGTTATATGCAGGATATGTCTGAAAAGAAAGAAGGAAAAAGAAGGAAGGATGGGCACGGAGAGAAAGAGGCTTTAAAGCTAACTAGCATCTCTCTCTTAAGAGGAAAATCACAACTTTATTATGTTTCTGCAAGAAATGCTCAGAGACTGTAGGTCAGTAAAATATTTTTTCCTTAACATTCACATCTTTGAAAATTTATACTGTACATTGTATGTGTTACAGAGAAAGAATGCAACACTTCTGCAACTTTTTTGGTTCCCATGTTCCACTAATAAGACATTGCCTTACTTGGGGAAAAATACTTTAATACATGTAAAGTACAAACACTGCCTGTGTTAGAGCAGAAAACTCTGACAGCTTTACCACAGATTCCCATTTTCTGTACTGAAATTTTGAAGTTCTCTGGCCTTTTGGCATGGCAAAACCCTGCCTTCTGTCTCAGAAAATAGTGTTCAACGTGTGTCTCATGTTTCAACACTGCTCATGATTTTAAGAAGCAAGCAAGGGAGAGAAGCAATGTTTTGTCAGCTTGAGATCTGTGACAACTTTCTCTCCAAAAACTCTGCTAAGTTCCTAAGACAGATTTGCCATTTGACAGATAGCCCTTAGGGGAGAAATTCGATTTTTGCTGCCACCATGAAAACTGCAACTAAGCAAAAGCTCAAAAAAAATCATTTTTGCTCCAAAATGATAGAATTTTGCTGTCAAATTTGAAGAATTCTCTCACATGCTCCATATCATGCACTTAAAAGGGCATGCCCTTCAGCTAGCTGCACACTGGGGCTGATTTGTCAACCTGCAGATTTTCAAAATTCTAAGTAGTAGCTTTAATAATGTTCTAACAGTTTTTCATACAGAATACAAATCTATGAATTAAACTGCTGAGTTTTGGCATCTAGAACAAGTTTGTAAGTTTTACCTTCAAGGCACTAAGAACAGCAGTAAAGATGTTAAGCTGCACAGCTTGCTGTCGAACACCTTTAGCCTGCTTGACACATTCAGCAAAGTGATCCAACATCTGCAATCTAAAACAAAGAAAAGAGCATAATTTAAGCGAGATGTTTTCAAAATACAAACCAAAATGCAACAGGTGGAAAAACACAACAAAAGAGACTTACAATCAGTTACAGAATTTATTTTTCAGGGGCTGTAGAGACTATTCCACTTAGACAGAAAGGTTATTCTGGATGCTGTTAGTTCTTTCAGATTATCCATAAGTGCTTACTGCCCCTTTTGAAGGGAGCACCAAGGGGAGGTTTTCAGATACTGTTTGGATGTACAACTAGAAAACTACAAGGACAGGACTAGAAAAATGCTGCCTCTGCACTATCATTCAAAACCAGTGTTATTCTACACACTTCTATAGTTGTTCCCATTATTTTCCCTTCTTGACATCATGTCATGAAGCATTAATGAGAGGAATACTCTCTCAAAGATACCAAGAACAGGAGTATAATGAGCAGTTGGTACAGTTAACAAATCAGCAGCTAATGAGTCAATTTTTAACTAAGAACAATATAGATCAGACAGACTTAAGGCTTATTGCTTACAATTGCTTACTGCAAAATGAGACTGACCTGTCAAAGAAAAAAACTCAGTTCCATCAGTACTGCACTGAAGGATAATTTTCATTTTAAATGAATCTTAGAGCTGCCTATACTCTGTGCTCAGCAACAACTTAGCTAAATTACATGACAAACAGAGTCCCAATAACCCGTATCTTCATAAAAATCAGCATATTTTCTTTCATGTTTCACATGAATTTATTTCTTCTTTTGCATAAAACCACTTAGTGTAAATCACACACAGTCTCACTTATGGAAACCAGCTGAAATCCAAAGAATTCCATTGCTGTGATTTCAAGGCTGATTTTAAGCTATTTTCTATGGATATTTTTGCAGGGAGTTTTGGCTGTAAAGAAATTGCTGCTGTTAAAAAAGTAAGAGGAGAGAAATCCAGTCTGTACCACCTAACCCCAATTTACAAAACTGATAAACCAAGGAAACTAACTTGTTTCTCAACTGGGTGAACATATTCTGCAATCCCGAGACACAGTGAACGCAAAATAGACACCTAAATTAGAGACAGTTGATTTCAAAGCGGATTCTTATTTCAAGAATAAAAACTTGATAGGATGCAGGGAACTAAAGCATTCCGTTCTGAAACTGAGCACAGATGTAAACTGACCTGTGTTTGTAAGACACATGAGGAAAAACCACACCAAAGAGAGCCACAGATGCATCGATGACAGACACTCCTAGAGGAAGAGGACCGGGTACAGCTTCACCAGCAGGGATGCGCAAATAAATAGAGGAAGGATCGTGTTCCAAAGCACCACTTCCAGATGCACTGTTTGGCTGAAGCTGAAAAATGCCACATAACATGAACACTTCTGAATATCTCTCTGTAGACAAAATTCTGAACTAGTGGTAAACCAAAGACATACGCAGTCGCTAAGAATAGAAAACTGCATTACAAATAATTAAAAGCAACTGCAGCATCCCCAGGCACGCATAGATTAGCATTCACAGAGCCAGTTAAATCCCTGACAGAGCACTTAACAGTTGGATAAGTGCATAAACTATGACTCCCATAAGATACAGAAATTAGAGAAAGGCATGTAATTTCTGGTACCAGCAGCAGCTTCTGAAACGTAACTACAAACTGACTTTTCAGAAAAAAAAAATAAATCATTCATTGTGAGTACTGAGTTACAACACAGCATACTAATAAGTCAGTTTTGGTTGTAATGGTTCTCTATCTAGGAAAGTTCTGAAATAGTATTAGAACTGCTTATGTCTATCATCATGAAAATACTTCCTAACCATCATTCCTTCAGAAATACCATCATTTATTTCCTTGGAAGAAATGCTTACTTTCACAACTTATTATCTCATCATGACACAAAGTTTGACTCTAATAGGTCTATATTCTTAAAAGGCTAGAAAACAGAGTAAATTTGGTATTGTTAAAAAAAAAAAAAAAAAAAGGACCAAGTACATGATGTTCCTGTGACTCACTGGAGGCTTTCATTTCCACCAGGAGTGATACTATTCAACGAGATGGGGACACAAAAGGAAGAAAGATGTGGAAGGACTTCCCCAGAAAGCTCTGCTGATTGAATAGTGCACTAAAGTCTAGTCTATGACTACCACAGCAAAGGAAGAAAGTTTAGAAAAAGCCTTCCTTTACTTTGACATGCTGATTTTTCTCAAAAAACTCAGTTTGCCCTCCATTTTTCACACTTAATATCAGTCTTGGCTTTTTGATCTGTTCTATCAGTACAGCTTCCTTCTAAGAAACCTTGCCATTATTAAACAAGCTGTGGTAGAAGGGAGATTTTCAGTTCCCTTCCTTATTCCAGGAACTTTCTGAGAAGGTGAGCCAAAATTCTTACTATGGTACGGCTCAGCCAATGCTCAGAACAGTTATTTGTCCACAGAAAATGATAAACTAATCAATGAATTGTTCCCAAAGCTCCATTTGCCTTCAAGGAGCGTATGTAAAAAAAGGTAATTGCATCTGTGTTAGGAGCTCATCTGAAAAACTTCATCCAGTCCCATAACAAGTTTTGCTTCCTGTTTTTTTTAAATCCTAGGTTTCAAAGATGTGCCTTGTCTAGAAGCGTGGCAAATTCCTTATAATGCCAACATCACTGCATTAACTCAAATTAAATATGTGGTTTCATGCTGCACCTTTAAAAAGTTGCATCTTGTTTTTCCTCAACACCACTTGCAGTGCTGGCACTTTGATAGCAATTTCCTTACAAAACAATTTAAATAGAACGTAAGCTGTTTTCAAAAAATGTATGAGAATAATTGTTACACTAAAGAGATTTTTAAGATTTGTTTCTTTAAAGAAACTAGTTTGACTGACTAACCAGGGACATCCAAATTGCATAAACGTTATGGCCACCTCATCTGCAAGCAGTTTTATCAAGATTGTGCAGTACACAGAAAGACTTCAACTTGGCAAACCTTTGAAGGATGCCCAGAAAAAAGGAGCAAAACTCCATAAACCAGAGAGATATCACAGATAACTCCTTACTGTCCTGTTTCCTTATTACCTGGTCTTCAATTGACTTATGATCAGTCTCCTGAAGCCAAGAGCCAAGTAGAACACTGTCGTCATAATGACAAAGAGACCTCAGGAGCGACGTGGTTGTATTAGCAGAGTTGTCTGTCAAAGTAAATTCTGCTACCAACTCCCTAAGAAGTGCATTAAATGAACCTACAATACATTAAAAAGAATTGTTACTTCTTAACCAAAACATTTCAGCTACAGATCAGAAGCTCCAAATGAAAGCAAGTGCCATTATCTCAATTCTACAAGTAGTGAACGGACAGAAGTCTGACAACACTACTGCTGAAAGAACCCAAGTCTCTGTATTTTAAGCAATGATGGAAAACACTGTAAAATATGGAGAATGTGATCTCCATACCTCTCAATCCTACAAACAAAACCAGAACTTACATACTCAGTGTTAGACTGATACACTGCAATATCTGTACCTCCTATTTAAACCGACAAGATGACATAGAGAAAATGTACAACAGTGCAAGACTCTTGCAGATTCTATTTCACACTTGGTATTTGCATCAGAAGCAAGCACCAAAAAGACATCAAAAGAAGTAAAAAACAAACAAACAAAAAGCCACCACAACATACAGAGTGCAATTTTTACTTAAATAATAATCATCAAAAAAAAACAACCCATACCTTCATATGTCTTTGGAGGTAATAAAGCCAGTATATCATAAAGTCTTAAACGGACCATAGCTGCACTAGCTTTCAGATGAGCTCCATGGGCTTTAATTACTGATGGAATGCTACAGAATCAAGAGAAGAAAAAAAAAGAGACAGCCAGAAATGCTGTAGTTACTGACAAAAATATTTCAGATTTTTTTTTCACATGATCTGTCCCTATTCAAAACAAGAAAATAGTGTTCGGAGATCCACAGTGAGCAGCACTACTTAAGTAACTTCAGATATTTAGATTTTTTTTTTTTTTTTTTTAAAGTAATTGAGGGTTTTTTAAACTTATTTGAACTGCTACTTAAACTAAAGCACAAAATATGACCCAGAACTGTGTTTTATTCTTTTACGCTGTGAACTGTTGGAAGTTTTTCACTAGCACATTTTGAAAAAGGATAGTTTACTGATTCACATCTGGTAGTACACCAGTATCAGAGCTTTCTCATCTCTTGCACAAGGATAAACAAACCATGAAGCCAAAAAAACTCACTGAAAATTCAAAACATGGTTAACAAAAAGTTATTCCAGTAAGCCTTTCAGCCCATGCCATGGAATCACATAGTTTGAGAAAGCTGAAGACTGTAGTACTAATGTCCACAAAAAAGTGTTTTCCCCCAGTGTGAACAAGCAGCAACAGCACAGTAATAAGTTAAAATCTGAGAACTTGAATTAGAACAGATTAGTTATGGCATTTCAGCTTCAGGGAAAATGTGAACTTGCTCTCAGTAGTAACAACTTTATCATCAAACGAACATCTCTTAAACTCAACTGTGTTTCTAGAAATCATAGAACAAGATCTTAAAAAAAACTTTTTACTTACTGTGACATCATTGTCATGGCACATTCTATAGGTGTCATCAACTTCCTGATTACATCCTCAGTAAGGAGCTCAGGACAGTGAGCAACAAAACTTCTCATGGCTGGTAACAAAGAAGTTAAGAGTTTTACTCCAAAAAGAAATGCAGTGCATGATCAACATACAGATCTTGCGAGAATATAAACAAAGCAGCAACTAGAAGTATTTATTCAAGGACCATGTGACACGTTCTTAAGACTACATACCTAAAACAGGCCACTGGTGAAACTCTGACTCATTTTCAATGAAAGAAGGGAAACTATGAGAGTTTTCTGTATAATATTTGGGATTCTGTTTTACTGCCCAGTTATAGTTTTGAAATTTGAAATTCTTACCACACAGAGCCCCAGCGCGGCCTTCCAGAGTTACTTGCCAGGTAAAAGAATCTCCTCTTGCCTTTTCTGCTTCTAACTCCTTCAGAGATCGTGGGAACACATTTCTCCACAGCAGCAACATCTTTGGTAGATGATAACGAACAACAGAAGGACCTACACGAAAACAAAGTGACAGTTTAATAAAAGCATTCATTATACAACGTATGCAAAATCTGCCATTAAGCTTTTTGCTCTCTTAATTGCTATTTCCTCTTACTCCACTTTTTTTTTTAATTTAACTTATTTCTTTCTTTAAATAAATTCCCTCTCTTCCTCATTGTTCTCATTTGTACGTTGAAAGTGCTGCAAGTAAAATCACAAAGATTCAGTGCTTGTTGATATTTGTACCAAAACTAGGGAACAGCCAATTCCATACGTTGAATCCTGTAAGACGTAAACACTGATGCTTGTTTCTCATCCTGACTTCCAATATTATTTTTATACCAGTATTTTGAAGGCAAGCTCTTCAGCCCATCTTATCTTATTTGTATGATAGAAAAATAAACGATAGATGCTGACTAGAAAACTAGTTCTACAATCAGGTTTACAGAAAGCTGAAAAAGATTTAGATAAAAAACACAATGAAAGTGCATTAAAAATGTACTGGAGAAGGACAATCAAAATTGTCAGAAAAATTTTGGCAAAAATGAGATGATTTGAGGAATAGAAAACACAAATGGTGTTTGCTGACAGATCAAAATACTGAGGAATTAAAATGTTTATTACATTTTTCAGAATTCTAAAAAAAGATAATTGATTCAAATGTCAAAACTACTTATAAGCTCTCAAAATAGTGCCTCAGATATTTCTGTGATGGCATATACATGAACAATCACATGTTGAATCACTGAATGGCTAGGGTTGGAAGGGACCATAAAGCCCAACTAGTTTCAACCCTCATGCCAAAGGCAGGGCTGCCACCCACCAGATCAGGCTGCCCAGAGCCCAATCCAGCATGGCCTTGGATGACTCCAGGGAAAGGGCATCCATAGCTTCTCTGAGCAGCCTGTGCCAGTGCCTCACCACCACAGAAGTTTGATTGTGGTTTTCTTGTTGCTGTTCATGTTTTTGTCTTGCTGTTGTTGTTTTAAAGCCATCTGAATAGCTTTTAAAGTACCATTGTTCCATCATTCCTAATCAGTATTGTTGCTTATCCAGGGACACACTCGGAGAAGAAATAAACTGCAAATAAAACAGCTTGCGTCACAGAATTTTCCATTTTCATAAAATAACTACATGCTGGGTTTAAAAAATTATTTTGATATTTGTTTCTTTTAATTTTTTTTTGTTTTATATTGAGGAACAACACCTTCTGCTATCCTCCAGCTTACTCCAATATTTCACTTTTCCCCACCATTAACATCACAGCTGAAATAAATGAACTAAGACTTCGTTTCCTGTGGTATCCATACAGTACTGATGATCTGTAAAGACTACTTGCTACAGTGGATAATCAAAAATGTTGGACAAACATTAAAATCCAATAAGACAACTATTTTTACCAACCTAAAGTCATAAGTGCCCCAAGTAAAAGCCATCCAGCTTGAGTCCTTTGCAAGGAAAGCCTGCTGTTCTGTGCAGCAGTTCGTAACAGATCCTCAGCAATGCTAACCACCATCTGCAATAACAAAAAAAAAGATTTTAAAAATATAAATTACCACACTACTACAAATCCTCTTACTGAATATATGTAAAATGAACACGCTCAAATATTTAAACTGATCTTCCATAAAGAACAGATTACATTTCATGCAATTAGCCTTATGCACACAAAAATACAAGCAGCAATATTAATTAATAAATACTGAAGAAAAAATGTCAAACAATGTAAGCTCAAAAGAGAGAGAGGAAGAAACAGCTGGTAGATATTGCAACTCAAGTGCTATGAGGGCTGTTCCAAAAGTAATGCCTCTTATTTTATTATGTTAGCCTACAACATCAGAGGTGGATTTTGTTGGTATGACAATAGAGGCTGAACCTTCCTACCAATACTGCATTACATTCTGTTGCCATGTCACAGATGGCAGCAGAGGAGCAGACTGACAGAATGGCATCTGACACTGGATTGCTTATAAACAAAAGAGGTGGGATTGAATTCTTCCATGCAGGAAAAAATGGCACCCCCTGACATTCACTGACGCTTGCTGAATGCTCATGAAGATCAAACAGTAGATGTGAATACAGTGAGGTGGTGGGTGGAGCATCCCAGCAGTGGCAACAGTGGGTCCCCTCTGCTGGTTTAGATTTCTACAAGTGCAGAATGCAGGCTCTTGATCATTGCTGGCAAAAATGCATGACTAATGATGGTGACTATAGTGAGAGACAGTGTTTTTAGCTGAGAATTTGCTCTATCAAACAGTGTTACTGTGCTCTTCATATTTGTTGTAATTTCTATGAAGGCATTACTTTCGGAGTAACAAACATGCAAACAAGGCCTTCAACCAATGCTCATGCTGGGTACAAGTTCAATGTCAACAATCCTTTTACTTTGTCACACATTTTGCAAAGCAATTACTTCTTGAAAAAAATACGTGTTTTAGTTTATTCACAAACAAACCTCATTATCTCACCTTTCCTTTTGCATGAGGAATACCTAAGGGACACTGATGCACACCACCTAATAAAGCAGCCATTGCAAAACTGTAGCCACTAACAGCTTCGGGGGAGGTCTTCAGATTGTTGAGTCTTTCTGCACATCTATCTAAAAATGGAGTCAACTGAAAAGGCAATGCCACAGCTACACACCGCAAGCACCACGCAGCAGCAAGTCGAGCAGCCATGCTGGGATGAAGAAGAACTGATGTTACTGTCTCCAACAGACCTACATAAAAAAAGAATTTAAAGTTTTAAAATTACAACATGCTTCTTAGGAAGTTGAGATGTGAATTGAGTCAGTATTAGAGACAACATGAAAGTTTAAAATGTCAGAATTGAAGTACTCAGATTTCATAACTTTGCCTTTCTCCTTAAGAAAAAAGAGAGAAGTGTTAATAACACTATGCAGTTAAATCAATTTTCTTTCTTACACATTAATTAACAGATTGTGATCATATTTCATATTCATTACTCTAATATCTCAATCAGTGCAAGCTTATCCGCGTACCAATAGAGGGTTCTTGAATAAGAGGAGATGCAGTAGCATTCAGACTCTGCACCAGACTGCCCAGTTCTTGGAGAGCACACACCATTACATGCTGGCTTGCAGCCACGTCAGCAGCTCCTGCTTTATTTTCACTGTTAGCATCATTCACTACTGCCTCTGCAGAAGAGAAAGAAGCATCCTGCTTAGGACCACTTGAGGGAGTCACATACAAAGATTACAGCATACACAAAATAGAAAGGAACAATTTAGTTTTGGCATCATCCCTAAATATTAAAATAAAACCACAAATCTGCTCACAGTGAACGTGTTCTGAAGAAAAATACATTACACAGCTACCAGTTAAACAATCATCCAAAGACCACGTAAAACAGGCACCCAAAAGTTACTGTGGATGACAGTGCACTAAGAGATAGGATTAATAATGTAACATAGCAAAAATAAGTATACACACACAGTATGTATGAACTGCATTTATGTATACACCTACAGATGAAGGAACTAAGAATGCAGTCTTGATATATCTAAGTTCTACATGCATAAACACAAAATAAAACTGTAAAAACAAAACAAAACAACACCCAGACTTTTTTTTAATAATTAGCCACAACTCTCAATCATCATAAATTTATCCAGTTATCCAATTAATTCTACAGGTTCCATTTCTTGTTTTCCATCTAACACAGTGTCTCAGGAAGAGTAGAGTAAAGGATAAAAGGATACCTCGAAGGGTAAGGAAGCTGCAACAATCATGTCAAAGAAAATGAACTTGAGTATCAGCTTAAAATTACACAGCTAATGCAGTACAAATTCAACGAACTATCCTCCTTAGGTAAAGGGAACAAATCATCACCAAATGAAAATCCATCTAATAATTTATATATACACACACACCTGTGCATGTGTGTATATATATAAAATTGCAGAGTTTGATAACAAGAATTACCAAAGAATCAGAATTCCTATATATATATATTCCTATTACATTTATATATATATATCAAATAATATATGTATTTTATATATATATATTTATATTTATATGCTTCATATATACGAAGCAGCTCATCCCATCATTCAAAAACATAATGGAATTTCCAAGTTTGACAAGCAGGTGGCAGAAGGAGAAATTTCTGTAACCACTGCATCTCAGAAATTGAATTTCTTACATTTTTACCTAGAACTAAAAGGGTTCTGATTGTAATAAGCATTTAAGTTTCAACTAAACTCAAATATAACTCCCCTATGAAAAAATGGTTATGAGAAAAACCTGGAAAAGCTTCAAAAAAAACTGCATTTCCACACATCAAAACATTAATTTAAAATCAAATTAGACGGTGGCATTAAAAAAAATGAAATAAAGAAAAGAAGCACTCATTCACTTGTTTAACCAATGTACTGCTGTGCAATTCCATCTCCCTTTTCCAAACTCCATCTCAAACTGACTATTTTCTAAGAAACAAATGCCAACAGTTTTAAATGCCAATCCTCTTACATATTCAAGAGTCCACATTTACCTTCTTAAATATCTGTCTTTGGATTACATCTTTATTTGCCATCAGTAAAATTCAACTGGATCTCATGATGCGTATTGGAAGGACAGCTACAAGGGCACTATCTGCTCTTCAGCTGTGCAACTTTCAGTATAACCTATCCTAAGATTGATTGCAGAAACACATTTTTTCCCCCCCACTTAGCAAATGCAATGTCAAAAGCCAACAGAGGTTAAAAAGCAAGCTTTACACAATCATCTTTCAAATAGAAAGCAGTTGAATTATCTTCTACCACAGCAATAGAATTACCTCTCAGGGTAGAATTAAGCGTAAAAAAGGCCAATCCAGCATAAACAGCAATGAATTTCAACAGGTCTCAAACAAAGAAATGTATTTCTCACCCACTGCCTTCATCTGTTTACCAATGGCTTGGCATATATCTTTAGCAGCTGCAATCTGTGCTTTCTCCCCCAATAAGCTGCCCACTGTTGCTCTCAGGATGAAGGACACACATCTTCGAGAGTACACTGCCTCCACGTGGGTCTGAGTTGCACGAGGATGGGAGACCAGGTCAAGTACATGGGACAAAAATGTAGCAAAGTTGCGCTCCAACCACTGACCTCCTAATGTTGTAACAAAGACAACATAGGCCTGCAAATTCAGAAGTTACATACAGATTCAATTAAAACAGTAAGAAAAGACTATTTGGTCACTGCAGAGTAATGACTGCAGTACACGCATACTGCACGATGGCAGCAATAACAGTTAGTTACATGCAACCTGGATCAGGCTACACAAGATGAATTTAGCCAGTACCTGCCCATGCTGAACTGTTCCCAGCACAAAGGGTAGCTCTCTCTTACTGCTACTGCTAATCATTAATATTAGTTATTTAGTAAAATCAGTAATAGCTATTACTGCTAAAAAAAAAATCTACAACAGTAACTAAATATCAGCAACAACACGAACACGTTCTGGTTGAAGACTGTGCATTTTACCTAATGCACCTGAAAAATACTGGGGAAAAAAGAAAAAAAAATTATTTCATAAGATATCCTTAGATCAAAAAAATCTGCCTTCTGACAAGTTTCTGCAGCAGAAATATGTCAGAGTGGGAAGGCCTGGATTTGATTTGCTATCATTCTCTACTAGACAAATGGTGCTTTCATATCCACGAGATTTCATCTATTCGAGAAAGACACATGGAGAGAAGAAACACAGTTTAACAAGTTAGGGCTGCAAACTACTCATCAGAGAGATGAGAGATCCAGCACACAAAAGGGCAGAAGCACGTTAGGATACTAATTTCTGAAATCTTTTTTAATCCCACCCAAGACACTCTGATCAAATAAGCCTTTTCTAGCATGGATTTTAATCTATAGTTACATTACATCAGTAATAAAATATAACTTAGGTGAATGACACTGCTCATACATTTCACCAAGCAGGTGAATCAAATTAGCCTTGCAAGTTACTATAAGCAAAAAAACACCAGAAGAATATATTCTCCTCCTGAAAGTGTTACAGTGTACAAATGTTACTTAATTTGAGGGAGAAAAAAAACCAACAGTACAGATTATCACAAACCTGAGTAACACCAACTCTCACTTCCCTATTGACAGATCCTCCCACTTTAAGCATCTCTCCACCACTCTTTAGGAAACCAGACCCTCCTCGCAGAAATCCTGTGGCCATGAGTTCCAAGACCTCCTCAAGAGTAGCCCTCTTCACATTCTGTCGCATCACTTTTGCCAAGAGAAAAGCAAACATTTAATCCTAAAGTTCCGAGCAACACAATTATCTCAAAAATCAGAATTATCAATTCAGAGTTGTCTTGACACACAGATCCAGCCTACATTTCAGTTAACTGCTTCGTTTTGCACTTACAAAACAAGTTATTTTTCCCAAATGATTTTTGACCATTTCCTCTTTTTTTTTTGCATGGCTACAAGAGGGAATCTGAGTGCTCAACCTCTTTTTAAACTTGGAGTTTAAAAAACAAACAAAAAAGACAAACAGATCAACTACAGGTGTTCAAGCACTGGAACAAAACATCGTATCATGCAACATAGTATGGAAGGTGTAATTTGTTTGGGAATGTAATTCAGGAGGATTGTACCTGTTGCTTGTTTTGGTATCAGTGCTGTAGCCATGACAGTTCCCAAAAGCTTTGACACAGCAACCCGCACACCATAGTTTGAGTTTTCCAGAGCTTTAAAGCACAGCGTAGCAACATTTTCCAGCTCAGCTGTCCACATAAACACGGCTTCATTTTGCAATTCCAGCAGACACTGAAGAGGGAAAAAAGACAACAACAAAAAAAAACTTGCTGAGAACCAACAGAGACTATTCTTCTAAGTCCTTCTTAGTTTCAGTGCAATTGTCAGGTTTATTCAATAAACATTTTGTATGAGTATCAGAGTTCACTGTAAAACTTATGTAAGAATAAACTATTAGAAGAATTCAGGAACAGGTTAGCACACAAATAAAAAGTATAAGAAAAACAGAACAAAAGAATCCTGTTACTTAAAACCTCTCCCACTGAGAACCACAGTTAATTTACTTTATCTCCTTATTTACTTATGAAGTGAGGAAGTCAATACTATTGTACTTCAGCATACACAAAGTAGCAAGTCAAGCATTTGAGCCTTTGATGTAAACTAGCAAGGACTTACCTTTCCCAAATAACAACTGAGTCTCCCATTACAAGCAACAGGCAAAAGCTTAAACGCAGTCACTTTGCAATCACAGCACAAAGACTTTCTAGAAGCACATAGAAACACACCCACCTTGGCCACTGCACATCGCACAGCCATAGATCTGTCTGTCAGCAGAGACCGGGCGTTCTTGTAAATATCACGGTGACAAGAAGCTGCTGCTCCTCCAAGTCCGTTTAAGACCTTCTGTAAACTCATCAGGATTTCACTGCGGCCCTGAGACTGCACACAGAAGAGGTGTTTATGCAGAAATGCAGACGCAGTGCTTATATCCAAGTACCAGGTGCACACCTCTGCATTTTCATTTCCGTGCACGCGTATACTTGTGAAAATGGATAACAGTTCACTGAAGTCACATACAACCACTATCTGGCTGGCTGCAGATGGCAGTAAACATTAGAATTGGTTTCGGTAATACGGCATCTACTGTCACATAAATCAGAAAGAGTGCCAGCAGTTCAACAAATGGCAAAAGCTGCTGCTGTCCTTCCCCCAACTGCTGCAGCCTCATGTTAGAAAAACAAGAACTAAATAGAAGCAGCTAAACTAAATAGAAGCAGCTAAAAAGAATGTATGAGACAACGTGACGCCCAAGTAGTCGTCTCATGCTACACCCACACACAGGGTATTGCTGAGAACAAGCACTCTTTGGACAGAACACAGAGCTACTGTTACACTCAGCACTGATAGAAGTCTCTGCTTTAAGTCCAGCACTGGAATTATAAATGTTTATTACTCACAGGGAGTAAGTATATATGCAGGAAGAGTCAAGATCTACGCAGTCGGCACCTTGTCATTTATTTCAAAAGAAACCAAGCTATTTCAGAGCTGTCAGACCCACTGAGAATCCATGGCACATTCCCTCTATATGATATTCTTACAGAGTATCCTGCCCACAAAGCAGCGTAACATTTTTGTTACAAAACATAAGCATTTACTCGGGGTACCCAAGTGGAATCCTAATACAGTATTCCAAATGGTTCCTGCAACCCTTTTACAATTTTAATTGCTGATTCTGCAATAAAACAACTACAATAACATTAATGTGGCAAAACTCTAAACTCTGTCTGCAGAGCCACCACATGCACGTGGTCTAACTTGAGATGAGCAATTTGCATTTTACTACAGGGAAGGTATTTTAATAAACCTCTTTGGAAGGAGAGAGTTTCAGTTTAAATGGAATCAAGACCACATACAGAAAATGCTGCAAAACTCACCTCTGCACTCTTCAGAGATTTTAAAAGATTATTCACTGTCTCTGGAAAAGCACTACCCAGCATTCTGCCCATCTTCTCATAAAATGCTCCAACACATGCCACAGCAGCCCTAAAAAAGAGACATTCATAGGCATTTTCATTTTCTGGAACATTTAAAGACAAAAATTTAAGTATAAATGAATGTTTTATTCATCACTGGTGAATAAAAAAAACGTATTACCCACTAATCATATTTGTTGTTTGACAGTGCATTTAAATCATGTATTTAATTAAGAAAAACATGGAAGTTATTAGCTTCTTTGAATACAGATGTGCTTGGATTGATATTTGTACATAATCTACAGAGTGAGCTGCAGAAGACAAACATGCACAAACATCAGAGCAAGATCAGGATTTTGTGCACTTGAACTACAGGTGCTTGGTAAAGAAACAACCCTGTGATCTTTGATACATTTTCAAAGATATTGAATGAGACATTTTTTTCAAGCTAAAAAACTAAGATGAATAAATTACTGCAGGAAAGCAAAAATACAGATATATAAACACTGTAAACATCACCAGATTCTTTCCCTGCAGTTTTTGATCACCAAGCTTTGAGAAACAGTGTAGTGCAGTAGGATATGCAAATTGCCCCAAGGTTTTTGTAAACCTGAAATCCTTGGGTAAGTGATTTCTTTTGGTAAACTACGTTACAATGTGATTACAGCCCACTGCTTGACTGGCATGCCTCCTGCCCTGCTCTTCTACACAGCAACAAATTCCCCACAGAATTGCAACAGTTTCAGGTAAAAGGAGGACAGCATCAGCCCCAGAGGTGACTTCAGATGTTATCCTAAGGGTGTGCAATAACAGCAACTGAAGGCGGCCTGACCTGGGGACCATTAGAGTATTTCATGTACTCCCTCATGTACCATGGGAGAGCACTGAAGAAGTTTCAGTAGATGCTGTGTGTGATATTAACCGATTGCTATAAATAAGGCTGCTGCTACCTGCAAAGATAAACAGGGTCATACACATGGACAGACACATCCAAGCATACAGACTTTCCTTGAGAGGTTTAAGCTACATTACAGCAGGAGAATATAAACAGGCAGTGCTTGAGGGGGGAATAAAAAAAATAAATAAATAAAAATACAACAAACTTCTTTATTTGGCTACAGTTCTCTCAGCAATAAATAAATGCTCCCACTTGATAATTTGGCAGGTTCCATTGTAAACTGAGTACCTAGGCCCAATCACCAGTAATACAACTAATAGAAGTTCTTCACTGCATTACTTCAACTGCTTAACCTCTCCATGGCATAAGAAAGCAAAGAAACATTACAAACTCCTATGCTTAGAGGAAAGCATCCAACTTCCAGACGAAAGTGTATCTGTCACCTTCAAATCCTGCCCTCCACAATCTCAGATATATTCCTTTTTTCCTTCCAGATCAAGCACACACAGACTCCAACTGAGCATGCAAAATGTAAGTTCCACAAAATTTAACTTAACAGGGCACATACACAGGCAGATATTCCTGCAATATCCAGGACCGCTTTGCATTAAAACCACCCCCCTTCCCAAGTAACACCAAACGTACAGTTTTGTGGGCAGGTAGGCTGCAGTATCATCTTTGCTCTTGATGATGTCATTACACTTGTCAAGTGTCTGAAAAACTGTGAACGTGTCTCCAATGCTGTAGAGAGCAGCAAGGTTTTTCGCGAGGAGTTTTCGCGTTGGCGGCCCTGGGGAGCTGCTGATGAGTCCTGTTAGCTGTTCTACCAGTTTCTTCTGTTTCTCCTTGACATCTGTCTGTTAACAGATCAAAAATTAATGAAATAAAGCTTGTTTCCCATAACACCTGGTAACAACTACAAGAGATTGAAGCAAACTTCACACTACTCCTACATAATTTGACAAATTGCTTGTGTCACAGAGGTATGAGATACACTCAAGTAATTGTGGGGATGGATGCTAAATGATTAGAATTAGCTGTTGTTTTATGTAATTTTTATCTTCTTTTACATGACTCACTAAAACTGCAGTATTACTTGTACAGAGAACATTTTAATCCTCTTTCCCATCAAGAATCCTTACAATGGAAAGGCAGGTTTTGCTTTCCAAACATTTACAACACTGAAAAACAGAAACCAAACTAAATGGCTTTTAACAGAGAGTCCAAGTGAGTACCTACAATTCAATACTTACAAACTAAAATGCATCTGAATTACACAGTTGTAACTTGGATGTTACCTATTATCTCTAGCATAAAATTAATACATGTTTCAGAAAGAAGAAAAAGCAATTTACCTTGTTAGCAGCTACCAGCACTTTATCTAAAAATCTCAACCACTCAAAGATAAAGACTGGCCTCTTTGCCTCTGTGATCTGTGCTAATGCTTCCTCGTTCAACAACAAACTATGAGCCAGCTCCATCCCTGGTTAAGTTCTGGTTTTACCACAGACGGTAGAAACTCTGAAATAAAAATTAGAACATTAATATGCAATACAGTATAACAATATCAAACTCCAGTGAGCTGAAAATATGAAGATGAAACCTATAGATTACTGAATCATGATTCAAGCCTGCTTAGATGTACCTGAACTACAGAGTCCCAGATGAGAACCACTCATTTTCCACCATGTACATCCATTAGTGCTTCAGGAATCTGCGAAGTTACTTGCAAAAGGAGAACCTATGGGCAACTGAAGGGGCAAACTCTTAGCCAAGATATATATACTAAAGTCCCTGCCTACAAAAACAAAACAAACACAAAAGAGCTAACAGACATCTCTCACTGCTTCCTCTCACATAAGTGCAGCTCTCACTCTGCTCCAATTGAGACCTTGAGCCCGTTCCTGAAGCTTCGACATGAATCCAGCCACCTCCTCAACATCTTTCACAGACAAGGTGAGGAAGAATCTCCACCACGAGGACTTGTGGGGAACCAGTAACTTTTGCTTCCAGGAATGACAGACCGATTCTCTCTCTCACATGTGCATGCCCTGAGACACAAAGCATGGCTTCCACAGAAACAGCACAGCATGAGGCCTGCACCGCACTAAACACAGCTCCATGGCACAACAGAGCTCCAGCAGCAACATGTGCAAACAGCAGCACCACCACATTAAGGAAGTCAGAAACACATATTTTCTAGAAATAAGGCTCACTGGTGCTGGCTTAGAACACATCATTAAGAATCACAGGATGACTTACTAACTCACCTACCCAGTAGAAACCAGTAGACGTTATCCTGTAGCCCAAGACAGTTTTGCAATTGAAATTCTGTGATGGCTACAGTTATTCAACTGCAACTGAAAGAGTCAGAGGTGCGGAGGTGGAATTGATATTAATGAGGTTTGCTATCCATCACAAATTTGAGAGAGGCAGGAAGCATGACAGGATTTGGGATGGCTGGATCCCTAAAGCCACCCAGCCTCACTTTAAGGGACAGATGAGCCTTCTGAAATCCAGGCAGCCTCCCTGGATGCAGCCAGGATACAAGCAGACTGCAGGTCTCGAAGCAGGCAGACCACTACAGGTCAAACAGCCGAGATCCTGCTCAAACAACGAACTTGGTAGGTGCAAGGCACCACCAAAGCACACTGGTGGGGGAAGCAAGCACTGAAGGCAACATAACTTTAGCAAGCTACATTTAGATGAACGGGGCAGTTGATTACACAACAGAGAGGAAAAAAATATTTTAAAATCACAAAATAAAGTCAACTGTCTCTTGGAAAACAAAGCCAGAAGGCAAAAACAAAGCAATACAACAACAAAAGCACAGCACAACCCGAACCCTGAACTCGGCGGTGCTGGACCGAGGGCAGAACAGGAAGAGCAGAGCACCGAGAAGCGTTATGTAAGCCAGCATCTCCCTACAGCGTGCATTCTCAGGATGTTCCCTACGCTCACGGCTTCCCCATTCTTAGCCGAACCCAACAAACGCTTAAAGCGAATCAAAACGATTTCAATTAAACAACTGGATTATTCTTTAAACCAGCCCCCCATCTGACAGCAGCGAAAGGCGCTGTTTTTCCAGTTGTTTTTTTCTTTTCTTTTCTTTTTTTTCCAGAGGCACTGCCTATCACTGACGTACATCGCCTCAAAACACCTTTACGCGACAGCAGAACGAACGACGATCGTGCAGCCCGGGGGCGGCCGCCCGGAGCCTCGGAGCGCCGCTCCGCCTCAGCCCCGCGCCGCCCCCAGACCGCAGAACCGCCGCTAACGGCGCGCACCTCACGCTCCCACAGCACAGCGCGGCCCCGGCCCCACAGCGCACCCCCTCACCGCGAAGAGACGCTAGGGCTGAGGAGGCGCCGGCAGCGGCTCGGCTCGAGCCCAGCTGGCGAGAGGGGGAGAAAGGGAGACGCGGGCGGCTTCGCCCAGAGCCGCTAGGAGCAGCCCAGCCACAACGCACCTCAGCAGCGCACAGCCGGCCGTGGAGCGCAGCAGGAAGCGGGAAGTGCGCAGGCGCCGGCGGGCGGGGCGGGGAAAGGGGCGGACGCGCGCAAGCGCTTGGCTGGACTGGTGAGCTGGGGCAGGGGTGTGGGGGGTGTTGTGGCCGTGCCCCCGGCTGGTGAAGGGGATCATCCGGAAAAAGGCGGCGTGTGTGCAGGAAAGCTCATCGACTGCATCTGTAGGAAACAGGTCTGAGCAGGACATGCGTGCTAGCCATGGGGGACGAGGAAGAGGAAGATTACATGTCTGATTTATTTATTAAGTAAGTAGGCGTCGTTTTTGTTTCATCCTCAGTGATTGTAAGCACGTAAAGCCAAAACCAGAGGTGGGCTAATGCTTGCTGGGGTCATGCATCCTTAGGGAGGATGTGAGGCCGGGGATGCCCATGGTGCGGCGCGTGAGAGAAGCTCTCCAGAAAGAGGAAAAGCAAAAAGAAGCCAACGAGAAGAACAGGCAGAAGAGTGTGAAGGAAGAAGAGAAAGAGCGACGCGACTTGGTGCTGAGCAGCGCCTTAGGCAACGAGAACAAAGGCTTCGCCTTGCTCCAGAAGATGGGCTACAAGAGTGGCCAGGCCCTGGGCAAGAGCGGTGAGTTTGTCACTGTCCGAACAGCACACTGTGCTCAGGTGTCCTCTGAGGGAGGTTGTACTTCTGTTCGTCCTTAGCTAAGTTGGACAGAGGGCATGGCCGCAGGTTGCACCAGGGGAAATTCAGGTTCTACATTGGGAAAAGCTTCTCTGTAAGAGTGGTTGGTCGCTGGAATGGGCTGCCTGGGGAGGCGGTCCACAAACGTGTGGATGTAGTACTAAGGAACGTGTGTTAGTGAGTGATACTGATGGTCGGTGGACAGGAGATCTCAGATCTCTTTTCCAACCTTAACGATTCTATGCTGCCTTGTCTATAGAGCCATATCTGCCTCACTGAGCGCCCAGCCATCACTCTTTGTGTGTCGTGGCTGAACAAAAGGTGAGATCAAAGTACTGAAATGAAAATAAAAACATCTGTTGCAAGATGTGAGGGAAACAGCAGGACTTGCTGCTCACTAAATGCACTTCTGTCTGTGTGTGGCTGTGGCATTAAGAAGTTGTTTTGATGGTTGTGGAAAACTAACTGCTTAAAAAATATCAGCCTCCTCTTTGAATTTATAGTTGGAGTCTGGAAAAGAGGTGCACAACAGGAAGGCCTGCTAGATGAAATAGAAAACCAGTGAAGCAAAACATCAATAATTGCTATGTCAGTTTAGTGCATCTCTAGCAGATGATCAGTAAATGAACTGGCCCAGACAGGTTCTTGTAATTCTTCATCTTTCTCAGCTTGTGAAATTCTAGAATGAAAAATGCCACAGAAGACTGTAACAAAGCAGCCTTCAGCACAGCTATGCTGTGCCTATCAAACCAACATCATTTTCTTCCTCTGGGGTAGCATCCCAGAAGAAGCACACAGCAGTTGAGCAGATGAGGAGAAAAAGGAAAGAGGGCTCAAATCAACTGGGTTATTTGCAAAGCTCTAAGTGTACATTAATGTATTTTCTATTGCACTAAGCAAAATCTGAAGAAAATGTATGTATTTAATGGCAAAAGCAGCTGCCTGCTTGGCTGTACCACACCAACCATAGTTTGAGAAAGACCTCAATTCTCAAATTTGCCTATTTTTTCCCCTCGCAGGAGAAGGCATTGTTGAACCTATTGCTCTGAACATAAAAACAGGTTTGTGACATTTCCTGATTTACTTAGTTGTACATTACAGCTTTTCAGCTGCTTACATTCCTGTTGTGTACTTACATAGGCAGAAGTGGGCTTGGTCATGACGAATTCAAAAAGCGAAAAGCTGAAGAAAAACTAGAAAACTATAGAAAAAAACTCCACATGAAAAAACAAGCAAATGAACAAGCTGCAGATCAGTTCAGGTAAAATGCTGTAAAGGAAACCCCAAACAAGGTGTAAGCAGCCATTCTTCTTATTCATTAGTTTGGTTATTCTTCTAGAGTTACCAATTATGTGTGTTGTTTGAATGGGAGGTACGAGTTGAAACGTACTTGTATTGCTTCTCAGCTCTAAAGCAAGAGCAGGTGAACACTGTACTGGAATTGTATGCTGCATCATTTATTTTTATAACTGCTAACACTGTAAGCAATATGCATACTAACTCTCAAGTCATTTGTAACATTTTAAATCAGAGAACCATGTCATTTTTAATATAAAATTCATTGATAATCCAGAGCATTGTCACTGCAGTGATTTTTATGTGCAGCAGATTAAAAGTCAGGGTAAATCTTTCAGGTTTTATTATTTTAATTTTCTCCTGATTAGCACCTTTCTATGTGAAGAAGGAAAGGCAAGAGAAGGTTAAAAGCTTTTGCAAATTTTTAATGAGCCACTTTTTCACGGATTAAAGAAACCTAGTAAAAAGCAGTATTTCAGAGTGCAGTGTTATCAAAAGCTCTGTCCTGAAGGTGTAACTGAAAGGTATCATTCCCCAAAAATACACAGTGGTCCTACAGAAAAAGTCAGTGGAGACTTCATAACTCTGCCATTGTCCTGGTCATCTTTATTTGGCTTTCAGTAGTCTGGGGGAAGTGGTACATCTAGGATCTTGGCAGATTTTCTATTTTTGAAACGCTGTTGAGATGCATGACAGTCACTGTTTGTCTGCTTATTTTAGCTATCTACCTTTTCTTAACAGAATAAGATTCAAAACCAAACAAGAAGAACGTAAAATGGAGGGAGACCTTCGAAAAAGTCAGAGGGCTTGCCAGCAATTGGATATTCAGAAAGTGAGATATGTTATTGGGGGGTTGGAAGGAAGATTTGTGGGTTGGCAATAAAGGCTAAAAACAAAATAGTGATTGAGTGTCTGGAAGTTCTCTTCTGTGAGGAACCATGCATGTTTGCCTGTGTTTGCTCCTGCTCTTTGGTACTACTGTGCTGTTTACTTATCATGCATTAGGCAGTGTCAGGCTGTTCTAAATGACTGTTTTCCTTAAGTGGGGAGCAAAATCAGAGAGAATGGTTGAGGCTGGAAGAGATCTTTGGAACTCATCTTGCCCAATGGTTCTGCTCAATCGGGATCACCTAAAGCAGGTTGTCCAGAACCATGCCCAGACTGCTTTTCAGTATCTCAGAAGATGGGGGATCATCACTGAGAGCAGTGATCAGTGAGATTCCCAAAGAATCAAATAGACAAACAAAAACATCATGTCTATGTGCAAGGAGTAACATGGGTAACAGCAGTACAACTGCTACCTGATCTCATGCCTGATCTGGTGGTTGGTGACTCTTTGCCTGCAGCAGAGAGGTTGGAACCTCTCTGCTCTGTTGGAACCTCAATAAAATTTTGCCACTTCATAAGTTGAAAGCATAAAACAAATTTTTTTCTTCCGTCTATGTTAGTTAAAAGTAAATGCTGCCCTGCAAGTTCTGTTGAGATCAAAACAGACAAAGGGGCATCAAACAAAGAAAGTCAGCTGAATTAACTTGGATTATCTTTGACAGTTTCTTTTAAATTAACTTTATCTAAGGTGAACTAGGAAGCATCTAATGATGTTGTGGTAAAAAGTCTTTAAGCAGTGTGCTCCAACGGACAGAACTGCATTTAGAAAGAAGTATCTGCTCACAGATTTTGTGTGAGATTTGCTGTGTAGCTTTATGTGTACCAAACATAGATGGAATTAAACTTGATAAAAGTTAACATTAGCATGCATTTACTTGTATTTTAAAAAAGAGAATAATCCTCCTTGTGGACTGCTGTACTTAGTTTCCCCCTACAACTTCAGTAATTCTTCGTTATACTACACAAGTAAGTTTTGAGACCTAACATCTCAGCTATTAAAAATTATTTTTATGCAGCATTTTAAGAGAACCTGCAGAGGCAGATAATTTTCATTTTAATCCTTCATTATTTAAGGATATTGAAGCGCCCAAAGAGATTTGGTATTGGCTACAACCTGAAGAGGAAGACCAAAAGGATGAAGAAGACAAGGATGATGAGTGCACAGGCTCAGACTTAAGTGTAAGTTTTGCAGCTAAATGAATGGCTTGATTCAAAATGAAATTTAATAGGGCTCTAAAAAAAATTATGTATATATATATATATATATATATAAAATTTTCAAAGCAGTAGTAAATGACCTGTTTGCCATCTTAGAGCAATTACTTTTACAATAATTGAATGACAAAATGTGTAGCATTAAAACACTGATTTATTGCTTATCTGCTTTGAAGGTGATCTTTGGAAATAGTCAAAATGAAATTCTCAACAGTCTTAGCCACCATGTACAAGATCATATATTTGATAAATAATTTGTTTTAAGTTTTGATCTTGGATGCCCCACCACATATCTCAGGATGAACTTTAGAATCACTAAGTAATTTCTGAAAACGTTGCCCTGGAAATTCATGTTTTCGGAGAACCTCTAGATTACACCACTGTTAGTGTAACATATTTGACACACAGTGAAAAAGTGAAGTGTGCAAAATTCCACCAAAACATCATATAGTTACTATTAGGTAGATAGGTAATACTTCAGGTAAATCTTCAGTGAAAATTTTGTAGCTGGAAAGAATGATGAGCCAACAACCAGGCCTTATGGATTCCTGTGCTATGGGCTACAAATGTGGGGAACTTACAGTACTACAGTAGCTTTTCCATAGAAAAAGGTTAAACAAGCTGTTTTCACAGTGCTACTAGCTCAAACTGTCTTACATTGTATGAGCCCCTAATCACTGAATCCTTGTACATACCTCTAGGTATCAGCAAAGCTACAAATCCTGACTGCTTATTTAAGAGAACAACACTTCTATTGCATTTGGTGTGGAACAACCTATGAAGGTGAGAGTAGATGTCATGCATGTATGTGTTTTACTTTGCTTATGTAGTTAGACTCAATTAATACAGTGTATATTCAGCCTTAATCCTGTCACGTGCTTTCATAAGAACTGTAAGAACTATGCCCACACTTTCTGTGGAAGTTGTTCTTTCAAGTCATTTCTCCATTTCCGAGTTCCAGAATCAAAGACCATCAACTTCTTG